TTATATGAACCAGCCATTCACTCAACATAAGCATTGGCTCTGTGCTTGATATTCTGCTGGGTCTAAGGTATCTAGCAATGAATTGAGTGGGAGAAAAGACAAGAAAACAGACCTATGCTCAAATAATTTATAATGTTATATGTAGATGCTCTAATAGAGATGTATGACCAGTGTACTCTGGTAGTGTATTAGAAACATAAGTGCTGATTTTTGCCTGAAGTATGGGGGAGGGTTTCTTAGAGGAAATGACAGTTGAATTGCATTGAAAAGGAGGGGCTAGGGAAGATGGGAAGGGGAAGACCTTGTAGGCAGAAGAAAAAATATTTGTAAAGGCACCTGGGTATGAAAGGTCTTAGATGGTTCAGGGAAGCTTGGGACTTTGGGTGTGATGGAGTGAGTTGTGGTCTCTGAGGCTGAACGGTGGGGAGAGAGTGGAGTCTCAGATTGTAAAGCTAACGTCTTTGGGGGCTTTTAAACAAAAGAGTGAGATAGCCAGGTTGCTTTGTTACTATGCTAACTACTTTATAAAGAATGAACTTGGGATAGAGGGAGACTAGAGGCTAGATGAGAGGGTTTTGCCATTATTGAGGGTCAGAATTAGGGCAGAGATACTAGCTGTAGAGTAAGGGCAGGTTGGAGAAATGTTTTAAGAGATCTGAGCAGTTTCATGTTCCTTTGGAGGTGGGAGAAAGTGAGGAATCAAGGAGGATCCTGAGGTTCTAGCTTGAGGACCAGGTAGATGATGACGTGAATGAAAGGAGGTCCTGCATACAGGAAGTGGGAGGTTTGGATGAAAGGGAGGTGATGAGCTCACTTTCTGACGTGTTGAGCCTGAAGTGTTTTTAGGGTATTTGGATAGATGTCCAGAACAGTACTGTCCAGTAGAACTTTCTGCTGTGATGGAAATGTTTTGTGTCTACTGTCCACTCTGGTAGCCACTAACCACTTGTAGCTATTGAGCACTTGAAATGTGGCTAGTGCAATTGAAGAACTGAATTTTAAATTTTATTTAATCTTAATTAATTTAAATGTAAATAGCCACATGTGGCTAGTGGCTACCATATTTGACAGTACAGGTCTAGAAAGTATTGGTTGGAAGTACTGATCTGGAGCTCATGCTAGAGATAGGGTGACTAATGTACCTGGGGCTGAGAGGTTTCCAGGGACACTGGACTCTTCAGTGCTAAAACTGGGAAAGTCCCAGGCAAACTGACTGTTGTTCAACCTAGCCAAGGTGTTTTGGCCTGTAGTTATCAACTTTTGTTGTCCTGTTTCTGAAACAACCAACCCTTCTCAGTCGCTTCCTGGTCTGGCTATGTCATGATTTGCAGTTTGGAAAGAAAACTCCTTCTTTTGGCATTAGGGAGTTAGAAATAGAAAACCAGCATGATTCTTGAAACACATGCTCTCTGCCTGATACTCTCCTTGTTTTCTCCACATCTTCCTTTTTCTTCCATTCTATGCTCTTATGTAGTGATTCCCCACTTTGGCTGCACATTTGAATCACCTGGGGTGCTGACGTCTGAAAAAAACATATATATGGATGCCCAAGCTCCACCCTAGACTAGTTAAATCGGCGTCTTGGGTTGGGGGTCAGGGGGTGGGGAATAGTGGAGGGGGGCGGGGCCGGTGTTAAAAGCTCCCCAGGTGATTCTAATCTGCAGCCAGGATCGAAAACTGCAGCTCTCAGACATGCTTCCACTTCTTTGGTGCCTTGTTTTTTACTAGAATAACTACAGTTGGTTTTTATCCCCCTTTCTCCTCCCTTTATTTGTTGGAGGATAGTAATACCTAGGGTTTTAGAGGTTTTCTGCTCTGCCATCTTTCAGGTCATGTGTGACAAAAATAAGCTGGAGACTGAGGGCATTAGGGAGCATCTTGTCTCTTGTCCTGCACATGAGACTTGATGTACTTTGCTGTATCAGTAATAACCATGGCTGACATGTATTGAACACTTAATATGCCTAAGGACTCTTACGTCTTACAGGTTAACTCACTCAGTCTTAATAACAGCACTATGAGAGATGTGTAATTGTTATTCCTGTTTTCCAGATGAGGAATCTGAGACTCTGATTAGCCAATTTGCCCAGGGTCCCCTGGCTAGTAAGTGCTCAGGCTGGGATTAGGCTGCACTTTTTAATTACTGTGCTGTATGACTTTATAGTACAGTGAAATATACTACACTTGTAAACCCAAGAGATGAAGTCCTCCCCAAACTGTGGGTATCTTTCATATGGCAGAGAATTGGTCAGATTCATCTTTTCTTTTGCATTGGTTAATTCAAGATTTGGAGGATCTCTCTCATCAAATCACTTGAGCTGTGCAACTCACTTAAAAAAAATTTCAAATTGTGTGAGCCAGTTCTGAAACAGTAAGAAGGCCTGTGTGACCCTTTAGCATTGCCAAAAAAGAAGCAGCTGAATAATATTGGTCATTTCAGTTTTTGCCAGTTCTCTTGAGGATAGGGTTACGTATGTCTTCACTATGATATATAGGTATATATGTGTGTGTGTGTGTGTAAATATTATTAGGGCAGTGAGCTTGGTTTTTTAAATTCAAAGAAATAAAAATAGGAGTAAATATTTTTTTCCTTTTATGCCCTATCCCTCAAGGGTCCCCTTGCTGCTAACAAGCGCTTGAATTCTTCCCATACTTTCCTTCTCCTTTCCCTGTACCTGCTTTGTTATTATTTTTTAAGTTGCACTTAGTCACAAGATAGCATATTTTCTGTGGTTTCCATTAACGTATGATAGGTGAAGGATTCTCAATTAATGCTTTTCATTAAGACCCATTAATGGGGAGTCTACAGTGTTTCATCTGGATTCCCTTCGCAATATAATGGAAGAATAGTATTGGTGTTTTAAAAAAGCCTTCAAAGCCGTTATATGATGTTTTAAATAGAAAAAAATTTTCCTAACGTCAATATGAGATCATGGTTTTACAAGCCTCTGTTATTTGTTTTATACATCTGTAAAAGTCGGTCATCTAGAATAGAGTGGTAAATCAATTTTGATTTTTCAGCTTCACCTACAGATATTTTTAAATGTCAGGTAAACCAAAAGTCTCTTGATAAAATATATATTTATTTTTTGAAACAATATTAGCTATCGTAATAAGATTTGGGACATGGCCATAGACTACCAATGGTGTTAAAAATGCATATTTTTAGAAGCTCTTAGTTCTTCTTTCTCTCTGTTAAAGAAGGAGGGGAGCGGGGCCCGCCCGGTGGCACAGCAGTTAAGTGCGCACGTTCTGCTTCAGGCAGCCTGGAGTTCGCGGGTTTGGATCCCGGGTGCGGACATGGCACTGCTTGACAAGCCATGCTGTGGTAGGCATCCCACATATAAAGTAGAGGAAGATGGGCACGGATGTTAGCTCAGGGCCAGTCTTCCTCAGCAAAAGGAGGAGGATTGGCAGCAGATGTTAGCTCAGGGCTGATCTTCCTCAAAAAAAGAAAAACAGGAGGAGAAGAGGTATTTTATTGATTTTTCAGAACTAAGGACAATTTAGTTTATACTCATTGGTTGGGGTTTGTGTGGTGAAGGCTGATGAGTGGCTGGTGTGCAGAGCGCTTCATTCTGTGGTCAGTCAAATCTTTTCTGTTGAAAACGTCATTATTTTTAGAAGGGCTATGTCTTTACATGTATACTTTCAGCTGTTTTATGGGCTACTTTTCAAGGATTTTGGGGGGGTATGACTTCAATAAAATTGTCCATTCATTCTTATTTAGATAGTCATGGAGTGCTAATAAAACTTCTGGGCACTGGTGGTGTAATCCCATAAATATTTGTTCATTTGAATTGGATTTTAACGTTTCCGTCCTCCCATCACGGTAGCTGTTCTGAGTCCTTTGGATCACTATTGGAGGAAACAAAGCATGTACTTTACCGTGTGAGTTGTCTGTTTTTGGGGTGTTCTTTACTCCGGTGGTTAGAATCATATACTTCTAGGATTAATAACCAGATTATCTGGGATGTTCTTGAAGCCACTGGTTTCAGATTTTTTATTTCCATCTTCAGGTTATTCATAGAAATAGGAAGCTTTGTTGGTCTTTTTTTTTTTTTTTTTTTAAGAAAAACTGAGCTTTTCATAGATAAATTTAAAATTTTTTTTAAAAAGTCAAAGTATAAAAATCCAATCTGATGATTCCCTAGCTGTCTGCTGCCAGTGAAGGTGCTGGTCTGGGAGTGGGCAGCAGTTCTGCCAGGCCTACCTTACACATTTTGCTCCATCATTAATCCTAGATCATTCTCTTTCTTTCCATGATGCACTCTAAACATTGTATTCTCAGCTGTAAGGATATCTAAAAATGGTGCTTTGGCATTTGAATGAATGATGAATGTGGGGGTTCAGGTTATCGTATTTTTCTGGCAATAGAGGGTTTTAAGTAGAAAACCACTGTTTTTCCACATAGTTGGAAATATTTCTGAACAATTCACATATTTTTCCACCTTAGTGAAATGAATCTGGCTGGTATCTGGTCATGGTTTGGTGATTGATGTCTTGCAGTACCTGAAAATAGTTGTTCTTAGCTGAATGGTCAAAGCATAAACTTTTTGTTCTGTGGATAAAGCAGTTGTGTGACATAAGAATTGAATGTGCAAGCTTACTTTATTTCCTGGAGGCCGATTTAAAAAATAAACCTTTGATAACAGCATCACAGACTAATTGTGCTGGAAGGAACTTCAGGGAACACCCACCTATTTCCCTTCACAGCACCAAGTGCTGGGCATCAAGAGCAGTGACTTGTCGTAGGTCTCTTGTGGCTCATAGGTCTTACTGATGATGGAGGGAGAAGTGAATTTCAGCTTGGTGGGCCCACATCTACTATGGCCTCTTTTTCTTCCTTACTCTTAAAAGCAGAGGCCCCTCTTCTGTGGCCTCTTCTTCACCCCACCCCCAACCTAATAAATAGACAGTACGGGCTAGTTGGCTTCCCAGGTTTTCCTGCAGTAAACTTTTGATAATGTTATAATGTTGCTTTCCTTTTTTTCTTCTAGCAATAGGCGAATATGAAGACCTTAGAGCAGAGAACCAGAAAACAAAGGAGAAGGTTTGTACTTTATCCTTTTTTTCCTTTCTTACATATGTAAAAGCCTGGACGGCATGGCGCATTGTTCTGCCACCAATTTCAGTTAAATGCGAGTGAGAGTTTTTTTTTTTTTCTATTCTCCTGCCTGTGTGGTTCAAGCTAATATCAACTCCAGGCTCCAGATGGTAAAGAATAGCAGGCATGCCACAGTGGGCGCTGCTCTGGGAGATTAACTACACAGCTAAATGTGCAGCAAGGCACCAGGCCAAGCACCACAAGCCCCTGAGAACTGTAGTTTTTCCCTAAGAACTGTCAGATTTGGGATTCTAGTGATGGAATTGAAGCCCTGAGACATTTACCTTTGGGGCTTAGACATATGAGATTCTGGGGAGAACTCTTTGGAATTAGTCATTGGTGCTTAGCCCAAATGGCTCCGGAAACCTTTTGTATGTTTGCTTCCTCTAAGTGTATGAATAGTATTCTGGAAGTGAAAAACCTACAACGTGAAGATGGGGAAACCTGGTTAATATTTTCAGCGGCTCTGGCAGTTTTATCTTTAAACTGTTAAATAATTAAATTCTGCTTTCCTTTACAAACTACTTACCTTCTTGTCTCAAAAATGTCCACTTAAGATTTGTGAATGTTTGTTAATACATATTTTTTCCTTGTATATATGGGGAGGGGACAAATGGAAGGAAAGGCTAAGTTAAAAAAGGTAGAGGGACTGAATAGAAAATGAAAAGTAAGAGAGAGCAGAACTGTCCATTATTATTTTCAGATATAAACAAAATTTACTTCTAGAAATTACTTTGATAGACCAAATATTTCAAAACATAACGTCCATGGTGGCAAATTAATAACAGGTCTTTGTGGTTCTTAAAGAAGGTGATCATCATTGCTGTATGAAACCTCATCTTTAAAATTTCAGAGTAAGATGCAATGAATATTGGCATTGCGCTAAATATTTGTAAAACCTATGACATATTTGGGTGTATTTTTTGGGCTCTTAAGAGTCATATTTAACTTTTTCACTCATATTAATTTGTTACCTATATAGCTGTAGTATAGTGGGCGATATTAATGGTAAGTACTCTAGTTCAAAGCATATTATAATGGATTTTTAGATAATTATTTTTCAACCAGTATTAAGGCTCCTTTGCTTATTTATAAATAAATCCTTGGTGTTTGGTGAATCTTAAGTTTCTTCTCTTCTTTTAATCAGGCGATTCAGGGAACGGTAGGTGTGGGTGATGAAAATATCCATGACAGAAGGTGGTTGGCGCGTGCGTCTCTAATATGCTGAGAAGGTCACAGAAAATAGTTTAACAATATTTCTAATTCTAACACCGTAACCACCAAAAATCACAGATGTCCTGAGGATTCCAGCAGGTGGGGAGTTGGTGCTTCAATCCTGAGTCCCTAATGCCCCATAATTTGAAAGTGAACCAAACTAATGGGTGATGCTTAGGCCAGATAGCTTAAACCTTTCCCTAAGATACCCAGCCATCTTCCAGCTCTAGGAGAAATCCAAGAAGTTGTCAGTCGATTGAGTCTTTTCCATAGATGTTCCTGGCCCAAGAGGGGAAGAGCAAAACAAGTTGGAGGAGTTGATTCAGGAGCACTCTTTGACTTAACCTAGAAGATATGAGGAGGGAAAGCAAACAAGTGTCTTCATGCTGTAGAGAAGGAAGGATATAAAAGAAGGTGAATAAACATCAGAGGAAGAAGAGCAATTTTTTTTCTCTTTTCTTCTCCTTCTTTAATCCTTGTTTGTTTGTAGACCTAGCATTGCCCTAAAAATAGTAGATGTTCTATAAACGTTGATTATTGGTGGTGACGATGGTTGCTTAACTGAGAGCCCCTTTCTGCAGTGAGTTTTTAAGTGAAGCATCTGTTAAAGTGGAATTATAGGTAAAATGCATTTGATAAAAGAAGGATTATAAATTACCTCAGCCCATTAACTGTTTACATGTTTCTCTGCAGAGTATGGCCTAATACTTTTGCAACATCTGGATGCATTATTGACCTGCTTCTATGCTAGTTCTTTAAAAATAACTATTAGCAGAAATGGGAAGAAAAGAAATGAAAGCAATGTGGAATGCTATGTGGTTGGGTAAAACAAAACAGAGTGGTTTTAAGTTCCCTGCACTTTGTTTATCTTCTGTTAAAAGACTATCAGTCTTATTGCTGCAGATTTTTTCCCCAAAAAGGAGGGCTGTATTACAAAGGAGGGAAGCATATAATAAAAGCCTTTTATACAGCACAGAATGAGTAAAAGCAGCTTTAGTTGCGGAGGTGGTCAATGGAGAACACCGTTTTCTCTGGTAAAGCACTTACTTGTGCTTGTCTGGGTGAGGTTTGTGCAGCCCACATCTGAAAATGTACATGGCCATCCTTATCTCATGGCCCCAAGCCAGAGTTCAGTTAACTCAGTCAAGCATAGGAATCTAAAGTAAGCCTCCTTTTGCTATAGTTAATTTGATGCGGGGAAATTTTGCACAAGTGGAAGGGACCGAAAAATACCATTTCAAGTTATTTCTTCCTTCCACAGGTCCATATTACGTCTATCTTTGTTGCCAGGTCATGAAACTTATCAGTGGGAGGAGACGGTGGGTATGATTCCTTCGGGTAAGATCTTTTTAAGCCCCGTTTGGAATCTGAGACAAGTCGTAGGACATGAATCTCTGCAGAGCAGGCAGTTTCTTAAGAGGCTGTGTTTATTAAGAAGCTACTGTGGGTCATGCACGTTCGCTTACCTCCCTCGTGTGATGCTCCAAACAGCCCCATCTCAGCTCCATTGCACAGAGAACAGGACCTCAGGGCTTAACAGAGTCTAGATGCAAACATGAGTCTTCTGACCACAAATGTTCTTTTTGAAGCAGGTAAACTTACGGTAACCAATTGAGTCTTTTTCCACAGAGGTCTTGGTTTTATTCTTAATTCTTTATTGTTAGCTCATGAATTTTCCACAGCAAATTATCAGACTCAATACTTTTCTGAATCATTTGCCTTCACCATCTATTGGTTTCTTTAAAAACTAAAAGTTAAATATCAATCTGACATCAATCTTATGTCAGAAAAATTCGTATGTGGGTGTGTGGGTGTGTGTGTGCATGCGTGCATATAGATTCTAACATAATGTATTCAAAGGATAAGAGTAGATTTGGGAGGGTGGGCCAATGTTTTAATAATCTTTTCCTTTGAAGTTCTCCCTTTCAAGGAAAAATGTAATGTTAATCATTTTGTGTTTTTTATGAATGTCTTTGGGGATGGAATCAGAATCTGAGTTTATATGGGAAGCTTTTTTGAAGGGAAAACTTTTTATTGAATGCCTTCTAAGTACCTCTCTGGGGCTTAAAGAAAAATATATGAAGGCCACATTCTTGAGTAAAACCACTCTAATGAGGGACACAGGCAAGTTGACAAATAACTGATAAATTGTGCTGTTATAAGTGAATGCCTAGAGTTTTGGGGCGGGATGGGAAAAGGACAAAAGATAAGTTTCCTACTCAATTCTATGTGACAAACTCTTATTAGCCCTTAATGCTTGGCTTAAGTGTCACTTAATTTTTTCAAAGTCTTCTCTCACCAGCAGAATTAATTGTTTGCTTCTTTATAATAAAGCATCTGTATTTTTTTATGTACTTATTACATTTTATCAACCCAAATTCATTGTTATCAAAATATTATATGGAGTACAAATAAGTTACATGGGTTTTATTAAAATGTAAAACCTTCCGTTTTGTTTTTTTTCAACATCAAGGTAAGTGGGGATTATGGAGAGGGTGTTACTTTCCGTTATTTTTTGCTTAGTTTCTGAATGGCATTATCAAGAGTGTGTTAAAAAGTAAGAAAGCCTACCACGAAGTCAACAACCCTCACAAATCTCTTTTTGGGGATATGGAAAAATAGAGGCCTATATATTTTAGAATCAACCAAATAAAATATTTTACTTTGCTTTGAAGCAATCACCATATTCAGACGTTAGTCATGCTTCTACAATTGAAGGGCATTCTCTTCTGACTCATTCAGGATCTTTGTCATAATTGTTTGGAGGTTTTTCCTATATGGGGGGGCAAAGCCTCACTGAGCTTTTAATGGAATAGCTTTCACATTTCTCAGGGTGGCGGGGGTGTGTGGAGTGCACATCAAAAGAAGGAAATCTGTATCATAGAAGAATGTCTGCCTTTAAACAGTATTTATGTTTAATATTATGTCCTGAGGTTGAGTTTTGAAATGAGTGAATGTTTAAGCGGCTGATTAGAAGTCGTTTGGGTGAGCTACTGTAACAGCGCATCAGGCGGTTCTGTCAGCTTGCCAGGAACAATGAATGAAAAGGGAATGAGACAGACACTTTCTAAGACTTATGTTTCAAGAAGCAAGATATATGACACTGTTTGCATCTTGGCTCAGTTGTCTATTGTTAAAATTTCTTCCTCTTGTGTAAATTTCAGAGGTGAAGGTCCCAAAGTATTTTATTAAAAAAAAAAAAATCAGTAAAGAAGCCACTTTAAACAGCAAGATATGCATCCATTATGCTAACTGTTCATGCATAATACATCCACATACATGCAGTTTCTTTAGAACAGAGTGGCAAGTGGTTGTGCCAGAGAAAAAGTAATTACTTAGCAGTTTGAAAGTGAAAATGAGTCTCTTATTAACAGCAATCTATCCAGAAACAAAGAGCAAGATCTCTGTTCCGATGACGTGTGTTTCCATCCGAAACACAATCCCTAAAATTTGGAGAATGCTGTAAGACAGCTTGAGGGGGCAGCTACTACTTACTGCCTGTGAAAATTGGAGGGAAAGAACTTTGAATTGGAAGAACACCACCAAGAGAGGAAAGTGAAAGGAATTCCATTCTAGTGAGAATGGTTTAATTTATCATGTTCTTTAAGGATAAGCCCAGGCGAGTTCTAGCCGAACTTACATAGGTGGAACAATAGAATTGTCGATTATTAAAAATGATTTGATGGTCCTCTAACTGTGTCACCAAAGATTCTAAAACAGGTAAATATGCACATTTCTGATGCTATGCATGTTTAAATGTTTAAATATTGTAATTGGACATAAAAGGAATGAACTTCAAGAAAAATAAGTAACAATGGTGTGGGGTTGAGACCTCTTCAGACTTAGTGTTATAGCCTCTGCTATATGTTTGCTTCTGTACCGCAGTATTTCTCTCATTATAGCAAGAGTTCTTATAAATTGCTTGTCTCATGTTTGCTCTTTCTTGGTAGATCATAAGTTTTGTGAGAGCACATGGTCTGTTATGTTCCCCACTGTGTTCCTCCCAGTGCTTAATGCACTGCCTGGCACGTGTTGGTGCTGTATGAATAATTTATTCAATGCTCAGAGGAAGGAGATAAAGGCATTCTGTGATTACAGTGGATACCTGCTTAGAAGTCTAGTTCAGTCCACTGTAAGGTACTTGTCTATGTATAGATTGTCTGCTCTCTCGATGTTGTGTGTGTGCAGGGTGTGTACACACTTCTTGGGCCCCAAACTGGGCTTTCTGTAACTGGCAACCCTCCATTGCATTTGTGGACCATGGAGATAAAAATGAATGTTGGTGTTAGTGGAAATTAGACACAATTTAGAATATTGGGGTTTTTCTTGTATAAAATATACACATAAGAAAATCTAAAGATGCCTTGGTGTCTATATTAGTTATCTGTACGTCTGCTGAGCTCTGTTAAGCAGACATTTTAGTATAAGCAATAGTTGGATGATATATGAGGGAAAAGAACGGAGCTGCTCAATTTGGTGGGGAGTGGGGGGAATGCCACTTCACGCTGGAAAGACTTCCCCCTGCAGATCAGTTGCCAATGCTTTGAAATGCTGGTTTAGTTTCAGACGCCAGGTATCTGCCTGGATGAAGCTCAAGGAAGAGATCTGGAAAATAGCCAGGGCTTCTAATATTAAGAGCTTTCAAAACCAGCAAGGCCAACCTCTGGTCAATTCACCACTTCATAAAGAGCCAAAATAGAGACTCCAGAATAGGTATAATGTTATCCGGCTTGCTTAAACCAGCACTCGTGCTGCTGGGTTCTACCCCAGCCTTGAGCTACAGAGAATTGTTGGGCATCATAATTAGGTGATGTAGGCCCAAGAACATCTGTTGCTATTGCTAAATCTTCATGGGCAATTCTCACACAAAAAGAAGCAGTTTCTACAAATGGTGCAGCTGCATGAGCAGGGTCGAGGAAGGGGTAGGATGGGTGAGGGGCTTCTGTGGGACTTAAAGATGTGACGCTCTTCTGAGAATGCCTAGAATCCTTGCTGACTTCTCTCTGTTAGTAGAATGAGAGAAAGGTTACGAGCTATTTTTCTGGGTTCTAAAATGATGAAGTAAATGGATGTTTGGATTTCTGCTTGGTAAACGGGTACGTCCCCATATTTTGCTCAGCTCTGGTTTGGAATCAGTAGCTGCATTTGCAGCATGTGTAGAGCCCCTCCCCCAACTCACACCGCTTTCAGTATCCATAGCAGATGGTAAATTCTGTGGCTGCCAGTTCTATCATAATGTGGTTGCAGAAAATAGAAAGCAAAGCAACACGAAGACCCCTGATAGAACACAGCTGGGGTTGGGAGACAGCTTCTGAATCTGCTGGTAATGACTGTAGGGTTGGGGTAAAAGTATATAGCTGGACTATAAAAATTGGTTACTTGCATGTTGGAATTAGACTGTGATGTTGAGACATGTTATTAACTGAAGCCTGTCTACCTGGGCTTTATGAGCAGAGAGCATGGCATAAAGCCTTACTTTTGGGGGACTGGTATAAGCCTACCTAAAATTGTCATGTGTTGCCAATGACCCGTACATGGTAGCTGCATTGGTGGTTTGTGTGTGATATCAGTTCGCGGCCTTTTTCTGATTTGAGTGGATGGAGATAGAGTACCATCCTGTTTAATGCTCTTGTCATGCAAAGTTTCAGTGAAAACTCTGGCTGTTTGATTTAAGCGAGAATTAAATTAACCTCCAGTCCCTGCAGGTGGAGCTTTGAGAGGTCTATAGAAGAATCCATTTAATCAGGCATTTAATCAGGAGCAACACTCCAAAGCACCAACTCTTAGATAAAGACGGGTTTTCACAGGGCATCTTCTATCTTCAGAAATGCCAGATTAATAAACATGAGATTAATTTGAAAGTAAAAAACCAGATCTATTTCATTTAGCAATCTTAACTTGAGTTTGCTTAGTTAGAAATTGTGTTTCTTTTTGTGCTTTAGACTGTACTGTGCCTTGTTGGAAGTGAGGTGGACAGACTATTGTAACAAATATGCACTACACAGAATTAACTGTTGTTTTTTTGAAATTTAAAAATAAAAGGATGCTACAGATAAAATTGAAGGTCCCCAGTGTTGCCCAACCCTAGTCGCCTTCCCCTCCCTATCTTCTAAGAGACAACTGCTGTCAAATTTTGTATATATCCTTCTATTTCATGTTTTTATACTTTTATATATACCGTATGTATTGTGAAATACACAATATAAATATATAAAGTGTTTTGTGTGCTTAAAGTATCATTTGATACATATTCTGTAACTCATTTTACTCAACATTATGGTTTTTGAGGTTTACCGATGTTGACTCATAACTTTAGTTCATTCATTTTCTCTGCTCTGGAGAGTATTGTATGATTTGACGGAGTATTTTATAATACTTTGTAGAGTGTTATACCATGATTTATTGTCAGTATAAATGTTGAGCATGTTTGTATAGATTGTCTTGTATATATTACTAAGATTCTATTAATAGAATCTAGAAGTAAAATTGCTGAATCACAGGGTATCTGCATGGCCAATTTTGATAGTTTATTTCCAAAGTAGTTAGGCCACTTGACGCTTCCACAGCAGCATGTGAGAGTTTCCAGCTCCTGGTGTCAGACTTTTTCAGTTTTTGCCCATCTATTAGATGAGAATATCTCTCTTTTAGTTTGGATTTTCCAAATTATCAGTGGAATAATAATGTTTTAGCCACTGATATTTGAAATTAAGCATCTCCAAAGGCATGAAATACCAATATATTTATCTAGCATACTGGGACTCAAATATAACTTAAAGTTGTGCTTTGTTCATATGGTCCTCTTATTATTACATTATACTATTCCCACAAAATTAAAATTTTAATCATCACTCTAATAGATGAAGTGACTTTTTAAACTTTTAGACTTTTTTGGTGAAAATCTTTCTAAAATGTCTTATACTTACCTGTTTTGTGAAATTCAGGGTAAATTGAATTCAGTCCTCATAATGAACATTAGGTTTTTAAAAAATTCATTAATGGTGCTGGCCTGGTGGCGCAGTGGTTAAGTTCGCACGTTTCGCTTCAGCAGCCTGGGGTTTGCCAGTTCAGATCCCTGGTGCAGACCTAGCACTGCTTGTCAAGCCATGCTGTGGCAGGCATCCCACATATAAAGTAGAGGAAGGTGGGCATGGATGTTAGCTCAGGACCAGTCTTCCTTAACAAAAAAGAGGAGGATTGGCGGCATCTGTTAGCTCAGGGCTAATCTTCCTCAAGAAAAAAGAAAAATTTGTTAATACCTTCAGGGCCTGTTAATATAATAGATACTTGTTTCTATACTAGATGCCTTAAAAGGTCCTCATGCTTTAATAGTTATTTTTGCCTTTTGTGGTCTCACATCCTAAAAGTCTTTTCAGTGAGTCCTCCTACCTTTTAAAATTAAAAATCAGTTTATGTCCATGATACATGCTGATTGTGGAATATTTTACCTTATATCCTTTTAATATGCTACCTTCTCCTATTCTCACTTCTAGGGACATGGGATGATCTTTTTCTGGAGTGAGAGAGTGCATGGGGCCTGTGGCAGCAGGCTGTCTTCATCTCATGGTCACTTCCAGTTGTGCACCAGTGTTCTGGATAGTTGAAACTACCTGGTTTTCAGGGTATCTGACTTTCGAATGAGTGGGGTGTTCACTGTATTAGCAAAATACCTACTTAAAAAGAGGCACACATATTCTCTTAAAGAATGAATGCGTTTTAACTCAAGGATGTTAAATTGGTCCGTTACTGAGGAGCTAATGAGCAGTAAAGGTGACTCATTATCTTAGAGGGTCCGAGAAAATTGGCTGGATACAAATGGTACAAATACCTTGTGATCGTTAATGCTTTTTTAAGGTTTAAAATTTTTGTTTTCTTTTCGTAAAATTGCTGTTGTCTATTAGTTTGCTCTTTCTTGCCTTTCTAAACTTAAAGTTTATGATACAAATTTAACGTTTCCTTTTTCTGTCATTTCAGTGTGACAAAATTAGGCAAGAACGAGATGAAGCTGTTAAAAAACTGGAGGAATTTCAGAAAAGTATGTAAGCATTTCAGTGGAATTATTATAAGACACATAATTGTTTTGAGATTGTGTGAGTAGACATGTACCCTATGTTTAGCTGCTGATACATTGGGCATCCAATCCAGAGAGCAAGAATTATCTTCCCATTTGCCCCAAAAATGCCCTGGCATTACTGCGATTTTTAAAGAAATGAAATGAGCATTACTGTTTTATGAGTATGTTATTATAAAAGATAGTTTTTACTTGTTATAAAGAATTTTACTATGCAGAACAGTTAAAGGAGAACAAAAATTACTTGTTATCTTGACTCTTTGAGAAAAGCCAAAGTTAGTATTTTATAATCTTTCCTTCCTGGTCTTCTATCTGTGCAATGTATGTATCTACAGAAAAGTACAGTCAGACTTTGCATTCAATCTTATGGCCTGCTTTTTTCAGTAAACAGTATATTATGGTTACCTTTGCATGTCTGTAGAGATCTATATCAGTTTTAATTGTCTGTAGTATTCTGTTATATGATAGTACCACAATTTATTTAAACATTTCCAGTGATAGGTGAATTGTTTCTGGTTTTTGGTTGTTGTAAATAATGCCACGGCAAGTAATCTTATACATGTATCTTTATAGTGGTCTTCTTAGTTCCTTAGGTTAATTCATAGAAAAGGAATTCTAAGTTCACAGAATTTACCCATTTTTAAGAGTTTGAATGTTTAAAATAGCCCTCTCACCAAAGAAAGTTATATTCCCACAAAGCTGTAATACTCTTCTTCTGAATTTTTGCTATGTTATTTTTTTATTTGATGTAAATCTGTTATTACTTCATCCCCTTAGAGAGGTAATGTCTGATCATCTGGAAGGATGAGATGGAAATATGTCATGGGAAAAGGGCCAGACCTTAGCAGGGAAAGTGACTCTCCCCCTTGGAAGCAGAGCCTTTCTCCATGTCCTGCAGATGCTTTATCAGCCAGGCTGTTTGATTATATCATAAAGTGGTGACTTGGTAACTACACAACAAAACATGTTATTCTCATTGAAGATAAAACAGCCATAAAAATGCAGCATTGTAGTTAAATTTCAATAGTTAGTTTCTTTTCAGCATCTAGCTGTAACAAAGAAAATCTAAAGGGAGTATTGTTGATATTATGTATTTTTGGAGGCCAAAATGCTATGATAGAAATATCTCTTATTTGTGAATGTATGAATTGCATTTGTGTAGGACTTTTCTCCTCCTCTAATGCAGGATTAATAGAATGTTCTTACACTTGTGCTGACACCAGGTCACATCTGAAAGAGTTATACCATTGGCATTGTTACCAATTAATGTGCTTGAATTAATTATTGATAATGGATTGCATGCTGTGTGCAGTGGAATTAGTTCAAGTTTTTATGGTTGGACTTAGCATTAAGTGTTTTAGTCCAGGTAGGTAGTAGGTATTTTGCCTCTTGCGTTATGCAAAAATGGAAGCAAGTTCTCCCCAAATTTACCCATCTTTAGAGCAAAATTTAAACTCTGCTTTCATTTACCATTTCTCTTTTCTCTTTTTTTGTCTCTTCCTCTAAATACCTTTGATAGTTTTAAAAATTTACATTTTTCCTTATGAGCAACTCAAAGCGTGAAAGAATCGGTTGAAATGTTAGTACAACAATCTTTATTGTTGTATTCATTTAATTTTTTCTTTACTAAGTCTGCTTAATTAATTTAAAGTTTGGATGGCAGGAAAACAAAGTGCTAACTTGACTCAGTCTCAAAGGAACAGAAAATGGGGACTAAGAAAACTTAAAGTATTTGTTAAAAAATTGTATCTGAGATAAATGGTTCACAACTTTTGAACAGAGGGTGGAATTTAAGATTTGGAAGGGAATGAGGCAGTATCTTATCACCAGTGAAAAGCACCACTTGATGTGAATCCATGTAGCCCTGAGCAATTTCTACATTAGTAAAATGGGGAAAAATGATCCCGCCTTCTTGCCTGTTTGAGGATTTAATGAAATAATCCATGTCAAAGGTGCTGAATTCGGTGCCAGGCATTATAGTAAGTGCTCAATAAATGTTAGTTGCTGCCACCACCATCCCATTTACTACACTATCCAGTGCTTGCCTGCTGTTCAGTATTAAAAGTTCTTATCATTTACCTTCAGTGAATTAGTTTCCAGGCACCAGTCTCTGCGTTTGGACAGCTCTAAGGGAAAGTTTCTTTTGGTGCTCAATTGAAATCTGCCTCCCTGTAATGTTTCCCTACTGGGCCTAGTTCTCAAAGTGTAGGAAGAGCAGCTGACCGAGGCTCAGGACAAGCGTTGTTAGGCCAGAGGGCTCCACTCTCCCTAGCTTAGCATGCTTTTCCTGGATGGTTTTTGTCCATATTTCCATGCCATTCTTGGCCCTCTGCCAGCTCCTCTGAGCCTTTTTCCTAGTTTCTACACAAAGAACACCAGTGCATAGCAAAGCCACGTTCCCTAGAAAGGCAGAATCCTCTGAAAGTAGAAGTAAAGAAAGTCTTTTCATGTCCTTCAGGCCACACCGTTAGATCCTTTGCTCTGGTTTAGGGCACTCCTATTTTCCTGCATACCTGCCAGCTTTCGTGGCTGTTTTCTTACTACTTGAAAACCTTTCTAAGTAATCTGATGTTGCAGAAGAACTTATGGTGTGTTCATCACGAGACATCCTGCATCTAAATATAGCTGAGAGTTGGCTGCATGGAGAGGAGTTTTGCTCAGGAAGCAACATCGTTTGTGGTGTCACCTTTAGATATGATGAATTAGAAAGGAACATAGAAAATTGGAGTCCCCTAGAAATAGATTTGGCTGGGCTTTACCAGTTAGAACTCTGTAATTTGGCTTATGTTACTTAACTTCTCTAGGACTCAGTGTTCTCAAATATAAATTTGCTGTAATAATACCTACCCCCTAGGATAATTGTGAGGATTTATGCAAGAACACATGGAAAAGGTTTAGCACAAGCCTGGACACATAGTTAGCTCAATAAATGGTGATGGTGGTTGTTTCCTAGCAATTTTGTACTACAGAGAGCATCCTTGTAAAAGGGTGTTCACAGATGAACTTAGATCTGATCTGTTTTTCCAGTCAGGCAAGCAGACACAAACATGAGTACCTACTTTGTACATAGCATTGTGCTAGGTAAAAGAGAGTCAGACATTAATAAAACAAAATCCCTGTTCTAATGCTCACAGTTAGTAGAAGACAAAAACAAGTGGAAAAATCCCCAGTTACCCTACAGGTGATGTATTCTATGATGGCAAATATGTAAGAGCATTTTGGGCTCATAGAAGAGGAGAGACAAACTTTGCTAATTCAACTAGACTGATAGAAGCAATGATTGATGTACTTTTAGGTTATACTTCTGAGTTCTCAGAGTCACTAAAAAAACTTTTATTTTGCATAATTTCAAGCTTATATAAAAAGGAGAAAATGGTATAATGAACCCTCATGTACTCATCATACAACTTCAACAACTGTCAATTCATGGCCAATCTTCTTTCATCTCTACATCCATACACCTACTCTCACTGACCTCAGATTATTTTGAAACTATTTCCCGTCATCATATCATTTTATTTGTAAATATTTCAGTATGTGTTTCTAAAATACTAGGATTCTTTTTTTATGTTTAACGTAACTGCAGTAACAGGGTCACTTTATTTAAAGTTCACTTTTTTCTTTTTTAAACCTTCATGTCATCCAAATTATAGATGTTTGAGGTGTAATGGTCACAGATTGTGGATATTATGAGACAAACTCCAATTCAGGACCTTAAGGCAAATTGTTAAATGAACAGCTAAAAGTTTTAAAAACATTTATCCTTTGAAAGGTACAAATAAATTTATTAAAAAAATTGCTATTTAATGTCATGTGACCTGACTTTTGGTTTAGGAAATGGGGTTTTATCTTTTTAAAGATATAAATGCCCTTTGAAATATCTTCTTCCCTTTTGAACCTAAGAAGTTGGTAAGTAGGTTTCTATCCTACCAATTTACCATTGGGATAACTTTTTAAACTAAAAATTAAAGCACAATTTTAAATTTCTACTGTTCCCTCTTAGAGGAAGGAATAACAGCCCTACCTGGTGGAGTATACCGTATCAGAATTGGAGAAAATGTGGGCTAGTGCTCCCTAGCTAAGCTAATTTATCAAGTTAAATCACAGGGCAGCTTTTTACAAAATGTTTAGAAAATAAGTGTTTCTTTCTGTTTTTTTTTCTTTTTGCTAGGCCTAAACCTTACTACTGTGGAATGATTTTTCTTACTCTTCCATGAGCAAGAATGTTATTGAATAAAAAGTCAAATTCCTGTGAAAAATGCAGAGTGTTTATGTTTTTGTTATGATTGTGGAAATACCAGATTGTGGCAGAAGATGTCAAGTAGTTAAGGCTAAAAATTCAAAGTAATATTTGATGTTGTAAAAATTGTATAGGTTTCTTTTCTCTTTCCTTCACATTTTTGAAGAACCTACCTTGTAAACATAGTGATAAAATGCAAGGAATATTAGGATTTTAAGGAAATAATAGAGCCTATTATTTAAACTACAATATAAAAGGCAATTATATTGATGAAGAGCTACACAGGCTTTGTGTGTGTGAATAAACTTGGCCTGTGTTCAGCTTCTATTTGTTCTTCTGGCATAAACACATATTGTGTGTGATTCCAGTTTAATGGGGACCCGTTTGTATGCCAAGCAGCTGCATTTTAGGACCTATTGCGTGATTTCATAGCTCTCTGAAAATTGGTTCTATTCAGAACAAGAGATAGAAGAGGAGAAGGGGGGGGGGTGTGGGGGGGGAGAGCTTCAACACACAATCATTTCTTTTCAATTGGAGCCAGAAAGGTTGATGACAACATGACCATTGTGTTATAATGATAAGACCACTAAGGCATCTGTACCTCTCATCAAGGCTCTCACACAACAGCAGATACAATTTAATTCACTGCTCTGTCAGCAGTGCTGATACCATTATGCCGTCTGTCTCCACAGTTATAATCACTGTCCTCTGAGAAATGCAGTTGAAATGATCTTGAGCAGTCAAAGAAACTCTCAATTAAGGCTGCCACTTCCAATGTGTCAGATTGTGTCTTCTGCACTTGGTACAATTTTCACTTCCAATCCTGTTTATTTACAATGTCTACCAGTAATTACGCTTAACGTGTCATTTAGTGAGGGGGGCCCCTGCCAAGCCGATTGTTGGGTGCTGCTGTACCATTGAGTGGGAGTTTCTCGAAGTCAATGCCATCAGCAGCTTTTAGGCCCTGATGGGATGCAGTAGTAATGTTGATAATGCAAGTATCGTGCTCATCAAGTCATAATTAGATGCCACTCAAATGTGCCACTTGTAATAACAGTGTTGATTCCTGTTTTTCTCGGTGACTGCAACTACTAATTAGTTAAGTGGTTTCTGGTTGGCCTGCATTTGCTGCAGATGATTATTACCCCTGAAAAAATGTCAAGGTTAGAGATGTTTCTGGCCATTTAGTGCTGCTTTATGAATTTGAATATTAACATAATAAGAACTTTGGACAGACTTAGGAAGTAATACATTTTTGTATTTAATTTGGAGAGAAATTTTTTCCCCTGAGTTTAATCATAATTGCAGGTTAATTAAGCTTAAATGAAGCAAAAGTAATCTCTCTTTGTGTTATGTGAGCCCAGTGCTTTTTGCCTAACTTTGTTGGGTTTCACATTTGGGTGTCCTTAATTTTTCTTTTTTAAGCCAAACAAATGCCAATAAGTATACATGTCTACAGTTAAGACTGAAATTCTGAGAATTTTCTTTTAACTAGAAATATGGTGAAAGGAATTGGCGTTTTTCTTACTTGATCTTCAAAGTATAATTCAAGTTCTAAATTACTTTGTACCTTTAAATCTCAATTTATATAAACCAGCTACCAAAAAAAAATCACAAAATTACTATTTTTCAGGCATTGGTAAAATATCAAGTAAAATTTTATTTTTCTTCTAATCTTCCTGACAGTCTGTCATGCAAGCAGCAGTTTATTAGCATCTATTTTCATCATTGTATAGTACATAAATCTTGGTGCTATACTTTTCTGCCCTGGAATTTATTAAATAACAGTAACCACTTAGTTACTTATTAATAAAAATTTTGTCACTACTATTGTAATACTTACCTTAGCTAAGCTGCCACATTGTTATTCCAGTTATGAGATCAACTTAAGATTTAAGAAAAAAATTCCAATTAGCTAATTTTCCTTATTAGATCCATATGTTTTATTCTGCTAATAAAAGGAAATCGTGTTTGCCACATTTTATTTATGAGAAGTTCTTTTGTTTAGATTAGTAGACATGTCTATGGTTATGTACACAACTACATAGAAAGCAGACACTTAAAAAATTCTAAATAACTTTCTTAAAATGTGTGTAATAGCAATAAAGCTTCTTAATTATATCTTTTTTCTTTCTACATTCATATTAGTTAAGATTTATCAGGGCAGCATCTTAAACACTTTTTTTCCATAATAGCTAACGGCCTGGCTAGCTGAAGAATTGAAGTATTCTTAATCATGGGACAAGATGTGTGGGCTTCTGGAATAGCTGACTAATCTTTGAATGTTGAGACTCTTTTTCCTTCATTCCTAGTTTCTCACATGGTTATAGAGGAAGTTAATTTTATGCAGAACCATCTTGAAATAGAGAAGACTTGTCGAGAAAGTGCTGAAGCTTTGGCAACAAAGGTGAGACAATTCAAATAAAGGAATTATTTCAACTTGCTTTTCTAAACAGTGTTTTCTATCCTGTTTTGCTTTTCTAGTTTTCTAATCAGTTTTCTACTCCTGTGATGAGGAAGGGGTTGTAAGGTCTCAGAATCCTGGAATATGATTATGTAAATGTCCATCTTCATGCAAAGGTTATTTTGATTGTAAATGGAGCATTTGAATGTGTATTCCAGCATTTGAGCTTTTGGCCTGTAAAAAAATGGTCCCAGAGTAGTCTGTTGAACTGGACGTTCCAAATGTCTATCTATTTGGTTAAAATTCTAACCAAGTTTAAAACTAACCTGATGTGACATGAAAGAGCAGTGAGTGTTTCATGTTTGAATCACATGAGAAAGTCATCCTCAAGCCTCGCGTTTCAGGTGATTATTTGTGAAAGCAAAGTGAGGGATACTAAGGGTGACCTCCAGTGCTCTGCTGATTGCTTCTAGCTGATGAATCTACCAAGAGTGTAATTTTCTATGTTCTATCTCATCAGAAGTACATTATTATTAAAGAATGTTTTTATCTCTGTCTTATGTATTTTGGATTGGGTAAAATGCATCTGAACCACTTCATCAGAAAATGGATTACAGCGATTTCAACCAAATTTCATTAGTAATTCCAGTGTGTTTCTTTCCCCTCTCCCCCTTCACCTACTCTAGAGTATTTCTTTGGATGTACTGAAATTCTACAGATCAATCAATTTATCTATATATCTATCTATTTAATTTGTCTGCATTAGCAGTGTGCTTGCTGGAGGTATTTGCTTAATTGTTTGCATAACAACACTACATTAGAATTCATAAAATATGCAGTCAGAACCTAACTCAGAATATAACTATGTGTATATAACTTCTCTTCTGTTATTTGTCTGAAGAATACATAGCAATACAGGCCATTGCTTTAAAAACAACGATAACATGAGTGCTCTCACATAATTTCTGCTCTGCTACACTTCGCTGAAGTTCACTGGTTTATAACACTGTGTGAATTCTCTCTTCATTTCCTTTATTTCTTCTTTGTAACAAGTAAGAAAAAAATATATATGGAACATACTAGCTGCTCTGAACCTCATAAAGGCTAAGGATGGTCTCTGTAGTTTTTTTTTTTTTTTGTTAACAGTTATTCCTGTTGCGGTGGTACATCCTGACTACCTCTCAGGACTGCCAGAGGTTACGGAAAGCAATGGTTTGGGAGGCAGCATATACAGGTTTTAGTCCTGGTTATGTCATTTTGGGCATATGTGACTTTGGGCAAGTTAGTTCTGTTTCCTGGACTGCCATTGTCTCATCTTAAACGATAGGATAGATTAGAGTTAGAACTGGAGTGAGAATGGGGTGGACTTTTCCTTTTTCATGATTCACTTTAATCAGTGGTTCATATATGGCCTCCTTTAAAAAAAAAACTATTTCATCCCTCCCCACACACACTTATTTAATGGGTGACTTTGTAGTCACCTCTCTGAGCTACAATGTCTTTTCCTAAATCTCAGAGTTGACCAGGGTTGATTTTTTAAGAATACCCCAGACTCACTGACTCTAGGAGTGTGGCCCAGGCATGTATATGTTGAAAGAGCTGCCAAGTGACTGTTACAGCCATCCCTGGGTATGAACCAGTTTGTTATTATTCTCTAAGGTCATTTTTTTTTTTTCTTTTTGAGGACGATTAGCCCTGAGCTAACATCTGCTGCCAATCCTCCTCTTTTTGCTGAGGAAGACTGGCCCTGAGCTAACATCCGTGCCCCTCTTCCTCTGCTTTATATGTGGGATGCCTGCCGCAGCATGGTTTGCCAAGCGGTGCCATGTCTGCACCCAGGATCCAAACCGGCGAACCCCGGGCCAGGGCCACTGAAGCAGAATGTACGAACTTAACTGCTGCGCCACCGGGCTGGCCCTCCAAGGTCATTTTTACAATTTAGTCTTGACAGTAGGATCCTTAACTTATACAGTTAGTTGTCTATTCTTTAAGAAGCCTTTTTGAAAATGGACATTTGGTTTGTTTTTGAGGATACAATTTGAATTCATGGGGCTTGGAATAAAAAACAAACCAAAAAACCTATTCAAACAAACACAATAGATGTGTTTATTGGATGTGGAAGATACTGTAGTTTGGAATACAAAGTTTGGAGGCTTCGTTATAAATGATAATCGTACGTCCTGATTTAGGTATCAGCTGTCATCTTTTAAAGTAGGCTACATTTTCTGAGCAGCAAACTTTGTGATTTAATTCTTCTTTTTCTAAATCTTCTAAATCTTTCCTAAATCTGCTCTCAAATTAATGACAAATGGAATGTTTAATTCTTATGATGTAATTTGACTGCATAATTTTCTTAAAAGCCAGTGTAGATATTTTGCTAAAATGTGTAAGTTAAACTGATAAATATAGACCAATTATTTAAATTGTGTGGTCCAAGTCTGTTTAACTTGCTTATTTTGCATCTTCAAGTATTCATTACACTGTGCCCAGTAGAAGAGCTATTTAAATTTGAGTGTAGGAGAAGATTCTGTCACTGTAGGGTTATGAAAGATTTATTTTTGCCTTGTGACCTAGAGGGTTCCAGAAAACAAATAGCATGCCATTAACCTTATAACTTGAATATTAATTGCAATTAGCCAAGGTTTGTGAATGCAGAGTTCTCAGAAATGTTCAGTTAGTATGGTCATAAGATCTCACGTACATAAATCTTATATTTCTTCTTTCAAAATATGAAAATGGTATCTCAGAGAAGACTTGAAATTTTCTGTCTCCCTTTTTTTCCGAGTTTGTAACTTTGTTAAATAGAGTAGTTGCGTCACAGCCAGACAGTAGCTGGTGGGTCTGGTGGCCGGTTTGATGGAGATGTTAAACTCTTTTGAGGGAGAACTGTTAACTGTCAGCTTATTAAGTATTATTGTGATAGTGGCTGAGAAGGGATGTATTAAGCACCAGTGGCAAAAATTAGTATTTTCTTTTTCTCGTGAGTGTCTTGGAGGAAGAAAAAAGTGCATAGACTAATACCTTGGTTGAAGAAAACTAGCTAATAAATGGTTTCCAAAGGAAAATTAAACACACAAACTAAACCTCTTTTGTTAGTAGCTAACTTACTGAACTTTTACTATATGTCAGTCATTATACTAAACACTTTTATATAACATCTCATTTAATCTTCGTAAACCTTTTATATGTAATGTCTCATTTGATCTTCATATTATGGGCTAGAGACTATTTTTATCCTTAGTTTGCTGATGAGAAAACTGCTACACTGAAAGGTTAGGTTAGTTCTTGAGGCAGAGACAGAATTTGATTGCAGAGCTGAGTTCTTAACTCTGCTACACTGATTTTATAGAAATGTGTACCACAGCATTGCATTACTCTTATGTCAGTGATTCTTAGCATTGATGTCCGTTAGATTCACCTGGAAAGCTCTGAAAAAGTACTATGCAGTGCCCCACTATCAGAGATTTTGATCTGGCAAGGCTCTGTCCATTGGGATTTTTAAAAGCTCTCTAGAGAGTCTAATGTGCAGAGTTGGAAACTATTAATTTAAATATTTAGAGGCAGAATTACAAATGAAGTCTTGAGTTTTTTCACTTTTTTCTTAAATTATTTTCTTGTCACATTCAGAAAAGATGGCATCATTTGAGAATTGAAGGGTCCTTGAGCTTCTAGTGCCATACTGTAGCATTCATGTTTCAAAGAACCCACAACAGTGTTTACTTAAATTTTCCATCTTAAGGAAGAGGGGTTGGGAAATCATGGGCCTCATATCTTATCCCTGATCCTCTAATGTAGTATAGGAGTTAGAATCTGGAGCTGTGGGCTGGAGACAGGGAATAAAGGACTGTGATTCCCTGCCTAGAGCTCGCCAGCCTTCCCAGGAAGAATCCATGGAAGGGTTCATGGCCATTTCTGAGAGATTCTTCCTGATTGCCCCAGAGAGGTCAGGGAACCCTCTTGTGCTCCAGACCATGCTACTTGGGATATATTTAGATTCCATGTTATTGGGGTAAGAATCAGATCTCCCAGATTGAAATGGGTTGAGCTTTCCTTGAGAGAAGCCCTGAAGAGTCCCGGTTATGATCACAGATAAAGGACCAAAGCCAGACAAATACCAAACTAAACATCTTATTCTGGTGTAAAGTTTGCAGTAGGGAAGGGCAGATAGATTTACCATGAATTATATTTCCATTTGTATTTATTTCCAATGTCAATTATTACATTCATAACTTGTCATAATGGCCGGTGGCCCTTAGTAAAGGTTATGTGTTTGCATTTCTCTATCTTACCTTTTATCCTAGAGAAATCAATCTGCTAAATACTTTCACATACTGAATTAAGGGAAGACCTTTTGCTTTTTAGTCTTGAGAAGAGAAAACATAAGCAAAACCATATCTTCCTTCTGTGGACTTTGGACCAAGTTTAGTCTTCGTGTGTGCTTTGTACTAACATTTATATGCACATAAACACATGAGCTAAGAAGGTAATGGTAGTCGATAACTGTAACTAAAAACCAACTCATTTCTGCGTCAGAGAATAGCAAATACATTAATGAATTATGATTCCTTTTCCTCTGCTAAGAATTAGAACTCTTCTTATAGAGTAATAGAAACATAACTTGAACTTTCTTCTGGTGTGCGTTATTAGAACTCTGTGTACAGTTAGTGGAAACACATCTTGAGCTAGCTTCAAGAAAAGGAAAAAAAGTAGAAATTTGTTAAGAAAAGGCTATTGGAGAATCCCATAGAATCTGTGAGCTGGAAGCATTTCAGGAATGGACTCAAACCCTGTGGTAAACCCTATCTCCATTGCTTTTCTCTGCCTCTCTCTACTGTCAGCTCCATTTTGGCTTTGCTACAGGCTACTTTCCTCTATCCCTCAATTCAGTAGTGGAATGTGGTTGCCAACAGCTTCTCTACATCCAGACACAGGGAAAGAAACTCATCTCTTTGTTCCAGCCTCCAAATTTCTAGAGAAGGGATTCGATTGAGCAAGCTTGGGTCATGTGCCTAACCCCTAGACTAATTAGCTGAGGCCAAAGGAATAGGGTATGCTTAGGAGGAACATGGCTTGTTCCCATAGAAATTACGTGGAACAATGAGGAAGAGTGACAGTGTCCAGAAAAGAGGGAATGCTGGGCAAACAAACATTTAAAAGGTGCTTACAGCACAGCATCCAAAAAAGTATTTGCTTGAAATGAAGTACCTTAATTAAGACTATTAATGACTGTGAATAAGTTGAAACTTGATTTAATCTATGCTGATGTTTTATCTTAATCCTTCTTAATTTCTTATCAGTTGTAAATAGCATTTTCACATGCTGCTGGCTGTAATCCAGGCATCAGGCCTTACTTGAAGTTGTAAGTTTAATATTAACAAGTGTAAATAAAACCTTATTTAATGACTCTTCTTGTTATTTCTTGCTGTGAGTGTTGATGAATATGTAAGACAAAAATACACTTAATTTGTCTATTGTTTAAAAATCCAAGATACTCATTTGACTGCTGTTAAAATAACCATTGTTCTATTTTGCCTTAGCTAAATAAAGAAAATAAAACATTGAAAAGAATCAGCATGTTATATATGGCCAAGCTGGGACCAGGTGTAATAACTGAAGAGATAAATATTGATGATGAAGATTCAACTACAGAGCCAGACGGTGCTGCTGAGACTTGTGTCTCGGTACAGTGTCAGAAGCAAGTCAAAGGTAGGACTCCTGGCCTAATTAGGGAGCATATTTTTGTCTCCTATTAGCATAATGCTTCTCAATCCTGGTTGCAGATTGGAATCACATGAGAACTTTAAAAAATACTGATGCCTGAGTCCTACCTTGAAAAAATTCTCATAAATTGTCCTAGGGAGTAGCCTGGTTGAGAGTCATGATAGGGTATAACATTTGTGCTTTATGATTTATTTTCTTGTTTTGGATTAGGCACTTTTGAAAGCATTGTCTTGACAGAAACAGCCAGTTAGTGTATAAACTTCTTAAGAATGTGGACTTATGTTTTAAGATATTTTTGTTAAGAGAAGGAAAGAATGAATAAAAATATATTTAGTTAACACCTTCTGTTAGTCTAGTTCTCTAGAATCTCTGGAAGATTCCTCGCCAAATTGCTTAGTCTCTGCCCTCAAAGAACTTCCTGTCTGATTCAGGCAGTGAGCTATAAGCAAGATGCAGTATTAAACAACTGTTGGTCAGCAAGTAGTGCTGTAAGGCAAGATCACATGATCCATCTATTAAAAACACATTAATTTATTCATAAAAATATATATACGTTATTAAAGATTAGAAAAGCAGTTTTTGTCTCAAATAACTATTGGGGCATTTTGGCTTATCACACATGTCAAAAGCAATACTGATTAGTTTGTTTGGTAGATAAAACTTCAGTTGGAAGTATAAAGAAAGTCTAAAGAAAAAAGGATAAAGAAAGTCATCTTTACCTGATTCTCCACTCCCTTAACCTAAGGCAAAATAATATTTCTCTACATATTGTGTAATATGTTATAATTAGTATAATTATGTAAATTATAATAATATTAAACTTATTATTCCCCCAAACTGGGAAGGAAGGGAAGTTTGAAGGATTTCCTTGTTTTCATAATTCTCCCTTCTTTTAGGTCTCGAACGGTATGATTTCTTGTTCCATAGCCAGCCAGTGGAGACAGTGATTTTGAAATAAGTCTCTGAGAACTCTTTCAAGTTGGGTTCATGTACAAGTTTGATTTAGTTTATAAATAACCATATATCAGGTTTCTTATTCTTGGAGAAGGGTAAGAATTAAAAACTAAGTTAAAAACTAGGTGGCAGAATCGTAGGCTCGGCCCTAAGTTTAAGTGCCCTCTGCTAATCCATGTATATTTTTTTAACGTTTGAGTGGTAGAAGTAACTTAAGTCTAACACAGAAGCTTTTGCACTTGGTTGCTAATATTTTCATTAAATCCCAGTAGTAAGAAATATGAAGTAAATTAAGAAACAAAGCACCCACAACTCTGGAGAGAAAATTACTAGAATTTTTCAAATAGATTATATTTTGAGTCAGTTCAGATAATGTTTAATGGCTATAAATTGACAGCAAGTCAGGATGTTTCTCTTCAAATCAAAATCTCCAAATTATTAACTGCCCAATTGTTTGTGTATATTGTATCGTGATAAGAGCCCATGGCCATTATAAAATAAGAAAGAAATTAGTACAAAGCCTTAACTTGTTTTGATGAAAAGGTAAAAAATTTTACTTCTAAAATGTAAATAGTTTTCTAAAAAATTTTACTTCTAAAATGTAAATAGTATTCTAGATAGAATGCAAAGAAAACATGATCTGGTACATTTAACATAGTGAGATTGCCTGATATGAAATAATTGATAACCGTGGCTATGTAGGGGGACATAGAGGTGAGATTTCCATTGTCCTTTGCTTCTTCATTTTCCTTTTAAATGTTAAATAACCTTGACTATAAGCTGCATGTGCACTAGCATTTTCAGTTCTTTTGACAAGATTGATTTCTTCTTTTAAAAGTAAGTGTTTTTGTATTGGGTTTTTTTCCCCCTTATTTTTTCTTTAAAAATGCAGAACTTCGAGATCAAATTGTATCTGTTCAGGAGGAAAAGAAGATATTAGCCATTGAACTGGAAAACCTCAAGAGCAAACTCGTAGAAGTAATTGAAGAAGTATGTATCTTAGGCCTGAGAGGCAAGACCTCTAGTGGTTTCAAGGTGTTTGGGCATTAGCTAAGTTAAAAACTTGCTGTTGGAAGCTAATTTCTGATGTGAGAACTATGTACCAATTTTAATCTTCTCTTCTCCCCATTATTTCAGATATACAATAAGGTATAGATAATGCGCTCATGAACATTCATATACTCACTACCTAGCTTAATAAATGAAACACTAAAATAGCATTGACGTGTTCCCTTTTGTCCCTCATATTTCGCTATGTGAAGCAAATTTGTAAGAATGATATGTGCAGTTTAAGTCATACCCTTTATTGCTGCTGGTGAAGAGGATTTTTTCTTCTCCAGTGGATGGCTGGCTCAGTTGAGAAAGACTATCACCCTGTGTACCTCCAACACAGGCCCATATGATAGATGGTAGAATGGTTCAAGTGGGTATTTGGAGAATCTTTCTCTTTTTCCTTTTGAATTATCTTTCAGAGCAGGAGTACATAATTGTCTTTCTTTACATGAGGCTTCAAGGAGCTGCCTTTGCAATCTCCATTTAACTTGTGTCAATGGTTCTCAGATTCTGTAGCCCAGAGCCTCCCAACCCAAGTGCTGTAGCACCTTGATATCCCTCAGATGGCTTACAAGGATGCCAAGGTATTGATCCCTTCAGTGAGCTGCCTCATCCAGTTACCTCAGTTCCCAGGCACATATTAGTATTTTCTGAAGGGACATAGTGTGAAAAAGGTTGGAAAGCAGTGTTCACCAACCTCCTGGCCCCAGTTGCTTCTACTTATTGTAGCAAAACATCATAATGAATGGGAAGAAGAGCGATGATATTTTGGAAATGGCATTCCTGTTGGAAAGTGTATACCAGTTACTAATTTAAACCAAAAACAAAAATATAGTTTACACTAAAAGAAATCAGTTCATAGACTATTTGGAAGTGCTGATGGATTCAGAGTCCTTTTGAGGACCATTATCTTAATTTGTTTCTTGAGTGTAACCACAGGAGAGAGATAAGAAACATATTTTGATGCACTCTATTCCTCAGTTATGATTATTTATTGATGATTCTCTCCCCTCCCATTTAGAGGTGTCATTGGAAGATTTCAGAAGCTATTTTTATTATGACTACTTCAGACATCTGAAAAGTATAAAAAACAAAATAATGAACATCTGTATGCCTGCTATCTAACTGAATACGTAAAACATTAACATAGTGTTGAAAATCCTGTGTCTGTCTCCCTAATTGCTTTTTCCTTAATGCCTGCCCTGTTTCCCCAAACAAACCACAAAAGCTTTGTTTTCGTCATTCCAATGCGTGTATTTATGTTTTTACTACAGTACATAGTATTCTGAGCATTTTTAAACTATGTAAACGTACATACTTTTTTTATTCAACATAATGCATTTGAGATTTATCCATCCTGAAACATGTAGCTTTATTCTTTTTTTTTTTTTAACTGTCCTATGATATTCTCTTCTCCTATTGATAGATGCCAAAAATTATTTCAGAAATTTAAGCTTTGGTGGGGGAAGACTTTCATATGTATTTTATTTAAGCCAAAAGTCTTCAGAGTTGAAAGTATTTTTTATTTTAAAAATTCATGTATGCTTTGCTTAAGCCAAATGTCATCAACGTTTAAAATGAATACCAAAATTGAGTATTAGATCTCTGACTGAATGATTCATGTATTTTCTGGGTATTCTTTGGTTGTATTTTTGCATTAAAAATATCAATTATTTACATTGGGCAGCTAGAACACGTCCATGTTTAAGGACCAATGCCAATGCCATTTGGAATATGTAAATAGGTTCTCTACCAAATGTACATTCCAACTTAAAGAGCCACCATTGAGGCTGTAAGAAGCGCTTTAATAAAAGCCTAACACAGTGAAGCCAATTACTGGTTTAAATTGTAACTTCATTTGAAAGTTGAATAGCAATTTGAGTATCACACATCGCCATATGTCATGTTATAATTTTGGGTGTTTTCTCCCCTCAAAATCTCACATTTTTAGGTAAATAAAGTTAAACAAGAAAAAGATGTTTTAAATTCAGAAGTTCTTGAACAGAGAAAAGTCTTAGAAAAATGCAATCGAGGTATGTGTTTCCAGTCTCTTTTCTCAAATACATACGTAGTTTTATTTTGTTTACATGTATTTTATGTTGTTTTATACCTGTGCCTGAAGGTTCTTGTAGCAAGAATCTTCTCCTTTGTTGTGTTTTCCTAACTTGTAGCAATGAATTGCTCTCATTCCTGTTATTTTATCGCCCATCTTAGAGTCCTGGATATTTAAAAGTGCTTTCACTTGGGGAACTCATACCCCACTCATTTTGAAACTTCAAACCTAAATACTATTATGTCCTACATATATCCTGGGACCACGGCCATATGGGCCATCCCCTCAGTGTCTGTATATTTGGTAGGTTGTGTAGTAAACCTCTCTTCAATCCAGGAGAGATTAGGATATCTACATAAATACGTGCCACATGGTATGATAAAATTTTAAATTAAGAGGATGTGGAAAATAGGACAAAGGGAAAGGAAGAGTGTATATTGATTTACAAAGTGCATACTTTCTCCAAGGTCTTGCGCATTTCCTACGTGTGTGCCTGAAATCTGGCTGTGAGCTAGCCTAGGGGCCAGTGTAACGAGAGATGCATGATCACCGATATGAATCACATAAAAATGAATCTCTCCATCAGGAGAAGCAGACTTGGTCTCATAGTGAGAAGGAAATTTCCCCAAAGGCTACTTTTAGAGAAAACTTTGTAATTTGATCCTACCATCCTTGTGGTAAAACACAGCATCAAGTCTCATGGGGCTCCTTCTGTCCCCTGGTTTAAGACGAGGGAATGATGCCAGAGTACAGTTCTGCGAACATAATTCTAAGAAAGGTGACTTATATGCTTTTTTTCTCCCTCAGCCATTCTCTTTCCTAGTTCAGAAGCTGCAACAGTAGAAGGAAATCTTCCAGACCCAGGGCCTTCCCTGTTGTTACTGGTTACGGTTCTCCATCTTTGCATCATTCATGTATTGAGATTTTTAAGTAGATAAAGGACCTTGTAGTTAAGTGTGGGAGATGCACTAGATTATAACATTTCCTCAACTCTTTCTACATTTAAGAAGACAGAAGTGGTGTAGAAGAATTTTTGGTCTTGATGCCCTGTGCTAGTAACAGAGGGTTCTATAAAGGTTAATCCGTGGTTCTTGCCTTCAGAGAGCCCCTTATCGAGGAGGAGAGAGAGATTATATAAATAAATACATGACGAGGACTAACCTAATTTCTTTCAGAATCCAAGTAAAAAGGGCCAGGACATGTCAAAATTCACTTTTTTATTATAGTGTTCTGGACATAGAAACTAGAGTCAATTATCTTGCCCGAGGCTTCAGATAGTCATTGTCTTCTTTGTTTTCATCATGAAATTTCTTTTTTTAATAGGTTTGAAAATCATTTAGCTCTCAGGGACCTATAATTCACATCACAAACCACCACTTATATTGCTTTACTTGAGTAAGACTATTAGTCTTTCCTCTGAGGAGGCAGTCAGTAGATTTACAGTACAGAGTTTGAAATTCTATGTTATTACTCAGCAAACCAGTCCTTAGTCAGTTAGGACTGAAGTGCCCTGGTGGAACATTGTATGAAAACAGCCATTAAGAGAGCCTTTTAAAAGATTTTATTGATATGACTCAGCTCAGAATTGAAAGTGCTGGCCAGAAGCAGATGGAGAGGCTAGAGTGATATCTACCTCTGTTGTGCCTAATTTGTAATGGCGTCATCACTCCCTCTGTGCTGTCTGTATCATTATTTAACAAAGTAGGCCACAAAATGTCAAAAAAGTAGCAAAGAATTCGTATTGCTTTTATTTGACAGGACTTTCTCTTTGACAGTGTCTGTCCGACAGTGGTTCTTTAATTCAAAGCTCTGACTCTGGGCCTGGATCCAAAGCTGTTTCTCTTCTTTGTAAACGTGGGAACCCTTGAAAATAACTTACGTATTTTTTTCTCTTTATTTATAAAAGCATAATATACTTTTTTTGGTGGAAAGTATAGAATCATATAGAGAAAGGAAAAAAATCTCAACCTTTACAGTCCAGAGATAAGCACCACTAACATTTCAGTGTATATTCTTCCAATCTTAAACCCTATATATACATTAAATTATTTATTAAATGTGTTTATAATATATATGGAAGACAAAGAAAATACCAGCAGAAGAAATATAAATATCTTTTTAGCCATTGGTACCTTACAAGCCCCTGAACATCCCTCTCTAGTCATACTCCTCCCTTGGATTTTTATCATTTCTTTTATTTACAGTTTTGCCAGATACTTATATATACCTAAACAGCATACTGTTTAATTTTGGGTGTTTTTGAACTTTATATAAATGATAACATTTTGCACATGTCCTTCTGCAACTTTCTATGTTTGTGAGGTTCGTCTGTGTAGGAGAGCATTGCTGTGGTGCGTTTATTTTCACTGCTGTGTAACATTTAATTCAATGTCTATACCAGAATTCATTTATCCAGTATGCTGTTGGTGGACGTTTGAGTTTTTTCCAGTTTTTTGCTGACCTAAGTTAGGCTGTTATGAAAATTCTTATGCGTGTCTCTTGGTGTACATGTCTGAGAGTTTCATGAAGATATATGCCAAAGGTAAAATTTTATCTTTAGTTTTACTACATAATGCCAAATTACTTTTTAAGTAGATCTGTAAGTTTACACTCATGTAACCAGTGTATTAGTTCCCAATGTTCTGTATCCTCTTCAAGCTTTATGTGGTATACTTCTTAATTTTTGCCTGTTGAATCTTTGGTTAGTATAAAAAAGTATCTGAGTTTTTACTTTTCATTTCCCTGATTACTAATGATGATGAGTATCTTTCCACATGTTTTTTGGCCTTTCACATGTTTCCTCTTCTGTGAAATACGTTGTTGGTGTGTTTTGTATGTGGCTTTTAAAAAATAAAAGTGAACTAATTTCTAAAAAATTTATCATAAATGTCTTTCCGTTAAGTAAATATGCTTCTTCAATATAATTTTGATGGCATAATAATATTTCCTGTACATACCATATTTTACTGATCCTTCAATGTTAGACCATCTAGATTATTTCACTCTTTTTGGCAATGATGCAGAGAGAGCATCCTTGCATATGTTCATGAGAATAAATACCTTCCTGGAAGTGGAATTGAGTCAGAGACTATGAATAGTTTTAGATTTTTGACTCACATTGCAACTTGCCCCCAAAAAGATTTTATCAATTTATATTCTAACGAGCAATGGATGAGGGTGCTTGTATGTCTGTTGAAAGAATCTTTTCAACACTATTTTCCATCCATAGTCCTGATAATCTGTGTGACATATCATCCATTTTCTATTCCTTGTCGTCTTCAGTGTCCATGCTAGCAGTAGAAGAGTATGAGGAAATGCAAGTAAACTTGGAACTGGAGAAGGACCTTCGAAAGAAAGCAGAGTCATTTGCACAAGAGGTAAGTATCTTGCAGGGACCTTGTTTTTTATTTTTTTAAAAACTTTGCAGATGACAAAATATTTTTTGAGGTTGAATAGAACTTGTTACTTTGATTAAGGATCCGCTGATTTAGAGAGGAGGCTATGGACTAGTATCCAGTTACTGAACTTGGTGTCTGAAGATCTGGGCTCAGATTTTGTGCACTGCAGTCAGTTACTAGTTGTCTCGCCTTAGAGCAGTCCCTTAGCCTCCTAGGGCTTCACTTTCACCATCTGTTAAATGGGTGATGATACCAGTCTAACCAAGAGGATTTTAGAGACAAATGGCACGATTTTAAAAAGTCTTTTGTAAACTATAAAATGCTGTATAGGGGAAAGGAACTATATTTAGGGATACCCATAACTTGTCATGGAAAGTCCAGCTTGAACACAAGATTTTTGTATGTTTCAAGTAGCCTTAAGAATCTGGGTTACGTCTCCATCTGCCATCTCGAATAACAGTATTGTGGTATTAGTATTTCTCTTCAGCTTCTATACAGTGCTCTCGTGTGAGCTGATTCTTCCACTTGCTGTGGAACATTGCCATGTTGTACATCCATTATCTCAGCCTTTCACCAGAGTAATGAGTTTCCTCTCATGTTAGAGATAAGCTTTGAGCTTCTTGTGTTCTGTCTTACCTTTGTGGACATGTAGTCACTGGGTATTCTCTGGCTCTGGGACTGGTTTCCAGGAAAATGATGAGACGCCAGTTGGCTGAACCGTCACAACTCATGGAAGTGGAACTGATCCGCATGAGATTTTCATCACGTATAAAAATTCTGAATCTGTATGCATACTGAAGGTTGAAGGAAAGTAGCTAAGGGAAGGTAAAACATTCTTAGGTGGAAGTATTCAAGGTGTGGAAGGAAGACAAAGCATGGGGTTATGGGAATGACATTTGAAACTCAAGGTACGCTTTTGTGCAGGAGTCTTTCTGTGCTTGAATGTAGCTGTGTAGCAAAGAACTTTACAAAAGGTTTACTCCAAGAAGATCTGATTTGAAATCTTAGGATTCATTTCATCCAGAGAGTTTAATGAAAGGTGAGTAAATACTGTTCCCTTATTGCTTGGAATAAAGAAGAAAGAACTGAGGTGTGTCAGAGCCCTTTGGAAAAAGCTGCAGCAATGTAAATAATGGAACGGAATAAACAGTTGAGGGGGAGGGAGAGTGGAGATGATGTGAAGACAACTCTATTGCAAAACTGAAAAGATTGACCAACTTTGACCCAAATGCCAGGGTTTTAATTTGAGAGACATTTTCAGTTCTCCATCTGTTGTTTGTAGAATGATGTTAAAATACAAAGCAGCTCAAAGAAAAACTTGAAGGCCATGTAGTGGCATAGGAGATAGACGGGAGAAGCAAGATTCCACTTAGAAAATGAAAATGAATGGTTTCCTCTGCCATTCACTTGGTAGTGGTTAGTGGAAACAATCATGCTGACAGATTAGCCCAGAAAGAGGAGATAGAAGTTTGAGGAAGGAAAGCAAGAGCTCTGGCACTTATGTTACTGGTAGCATAAATATTTGCAAGGGTGCTCAGTAATTTCACAGTATTTAAGTTTGATCTACACAATAGTGAGAAGAAAACGATTTTTTAAAATAAAGCTGGATTAAAACCAGTATATCTTCCCGTTTGCATGGTTTACAAATTCGCAGGTTTTCAACAGATAACTACTGCTAAAAGGTATATGACTTGGGTTAATAAGAGAAGTATCCCTCTGGAGCCAGCCCAGTGGCAGAGTGGTTAAGTTCGTGTGCTCCACTTTGGGGTTTGCAGGTTCGGATCCTGGGCATGGACCTGGCACTGCTTGTCAAGCCACACTGTGGTGGCATCCAACATAAAATAGAGGAAGATTGGCACAGCTGTTAGCTCAGGGACAATCTTCCTCACACACACAAATAAGAGAAGTACCCCTCTTTTACATTTTGTTTCTTAGTCCAGCCAGCAAACGGGTTAAGCCAGACACTGTGCTGATAGTGGGAATATCATGGTGAAGGAAGCAAATAGGATCCCTGTCCTTGTGGAGCTTACAGTCTAAAGCCTTAGAAATCAAATTTTTTTTTTTTTTTAAAGATTTTATTTTTTCCTTTTTCTCCCCAAAGCCCCCGGTACATAGTTGTATATTCTTCGTTGTGGGTTCTTCTAGTTGTGGTATGTGGGACGCTGCCTCAGCGTGGTTTGATGAGCAGTGCCATGTCCACGCCCAGGATTCGAACCAACGAAACGCTGGGCCGCCTGAAGCGGAGCGCGCGAACTTAACCACTTGGCCACGGGGCCAGCCCCCTTAGAAATCAATTTTTAAAGTTAATTTACTTTATATTTTTTATTACAAAAGGACTATATATGCCTTGTAAAAAATACAGTCAGTTCTCAAATGTGTAAAGTAAAAATCGAAAGTTTCTCCTCCACTCCTACTCCCACTTGTCCATTTAAAGAACAAAAACCAAAACATGATCCCCCTCAACAAGGAAGAAACAGCCAGTTGTCTTCATAAGTATGTTAGGTTTTTGTATTTCTTCTACATAATTTCAATTTTAAATGACTTTCCTCTATTTTTTTAGTATATTTGTGTTAATATTCAGTAAGTTTTTCTTTTCTTTTTTCTTTTTATTTACTTTTTATTATTTTATTTTATTTTATTTTTTTTTTGAGGAAGATTAGCCCTGAGCTAACTTCTGCCACTAATCCTCCTCTTTTTGTTGAGGAAAACTGGCCCTGAGCTAACATCCATGCCCATCTTCCTCTACTTTATATGTGGGGCGCCTGCCACAGCATGGCTTGCCAAGCAGTGTATAGGTCCACACCCGAGATCCAAACCAGTGAACCCCAGGCTGACGAAGCAGAACATGCAAGCTTAACCACTGCACCACTGGGCTGGCCCCTTTCTTTTCTTTTTTAAAGGTGTGGATACCTTGTTCAATATGTAGTTCCAGTGTACTGTGAGAGTATTATGTAATCAATTCTTTTTTCTTTCCAAACAACTCAGATGATATTTTCATGTTGTTTGGAGAGAATGAATTATATATTAATGACAAAAGATTTTCTTCTCATTCTTTGAAATGAGTTATGAAATTTCTCTGAAATTCTGGTACATGTGATATTATTTGTCTATTAATAGAACAGCTTCATAACTCTGACCAACAAGTTCTTACTGTAGCTAAAAACCAGATTTATTAGCATTTTGGTACTGAATTTTCTTTAGATACATCTTTGGAAAGGCATTATGTAGGATATTTTATTTTAGTGTCTTAAAGTCTAGGAAAGGCAGTCTAATGAGTAATTTTTTTCACGTTACCGTTGTTATTTAAAGGAATTTCTTTTCTATCTGTTCTTTTCATCTTATTACTATTTAGAGATTGTTACTGGGTTTTGCAAAAGAAAATTCACATTTATTAATGTTCCTAAGACATAGTCTTTACTCTTTTCTCTCTAAAATAGCAAAATTGAGATAATTTTTAATCATGTAAGCAAGTTTTCCGGAGTGCTGCATGGAAAAGGGGAACTATCCTTTTTCCCCGAGAGAACCAAAGCGCAGAGAATTGGTGCAGTGAGTGGCATCTCCACCCTCCGCGTTGATGCCAGCTTGTGCCCTGCGTTGTTTTACTGCTGAGGTCACTGCCCACTGCCTGCCTCCTCTCTGCCTGCTCCTGGCCGCCGAGCACTCTTGGTGTAAGGCCTCGCTTGCTGGAAAGCCAGAGAACCTCACTTACTTCAGCAGCTATTAGCAAGCCTTTCATGTTGACTCTGAGGTATTTCCTAAGACACCAGCAAGGGACCCCAACCAGTTAACTGTTAAGAGAGAAAAATATATAAAAAAGAAATTACTGTAATAATAATACTAACCCGAAATAACTCATTTCGGTTATACCATTGGTCTAAAATTAAGATACTGGGGCCCGCCCTGTGGCTGAGTGGTTAAGTTAGGGCACTCCGCTTCAGTGGCCCAAGGTTTCTCTGGTTTGGATCCTGGGCGCAGACCTAGCACCACTCATCAAGCCGTGCTGAGGCAGCGTCCCACACAGCAGAGCCAGAGGGCCTACAACTGGAATATACAGCTATGTACTGGAGGGGGAGCTTTGGGGAGAAGAAGAAACAAACAAAGTGAAACAAAAGATTAGCAACAGATGTTAGCTCAGGTGCCAATCTTTACAAAAAAAAAAATTTAAGATGCTGTGATGAATATTGATTACCCTTCCCTAGTATGTTGACACCTCTGGTCTCACATTTCGGTAGCCTGGCACTCTGCACATGCACACACGTGTTCATTCACGCTGTCTCTATACCTCTCCTTCTTACACTGAAAGAGGAGTCAGCTGGAAGAAGAATGTAAATTTCACTTTAAAATGCTGTTAAGAGTCTGAAAATGTAAAGTCTACTATAAAATGGGACTAATTTTGGAGTTTGTAAAACATTTCATGCTTGGAGTCACCCATTGGCTAACTTCTGTAGGGTATTAGGAAAAGGAATAACAGGCGAATAGAAAATAATGTTGTTTCACTCATGTAAAGTTGTGAAGGTTAAATGAATCATGTATGTAAATTGCTTAATAAAGTGCTCAATAAATATTAATATACCTTTTCCCTTCTTTTTATCCTCCTACTGTTAACTACTTTCATTACTAGGGAAAAACTAATCTGTTTAAAACAAAACATTGGGTCTAATACACAGCAGAGAAAGGAGGTTACCCAGGTAGTTAAGAGCTTGGGTTTGTAAATCAGTCAGATCGGGGTTTAAATCCTGGTTTTGCCACTTATATGTGTCCTTAGGAAAGTTGCTTAACCCCTCTGAGCCTCAGTTACCTTATTAGTGAAAATAGGATAGTAATAGTATCTACTTGACCATGTTATTCTAAGGATCAGGTGATATGATATGTGTAAAATGATTACCACCATATCTATTACATAATGTTTAGTGCACTTCAGCTATTCGTAGTAGAAACATTTAACTCGTAGGATTGATTTAAGGATTAAAATGATGTGTATAAAAAATTTAATAGAGTACGTGGCACAAGATAAGTTCTTGATAAATATTAGCTACTACTGTTAGTGTTAATGTATTTTAAAGCAGTTATAAAATATTAAAAACCGAAGTATAGGACTAAGTGATTGTATGTATACCTTGTTGGGGTAACGGTACTGGAGATTGTATGAAACTTATGAATGAATGAAATAGCCGTCATTCATTCCGAAACTGTTATACTATACAATTCAGAAATCGCCTTTAACTTCTTAATAAAAGCTCCACATCCTTTCCTTTTGCTCAAGTTTCAGTTGAGGAGATATGTGAGGTTGATCGGTATATACGTTTTTGTAATTAACTTTTGCAGATGTTCATTGAACAAAACAAGCTCAAGAGACAAAGCTACCTTCTGCTCCAGAACTCTGCTCCTGACCAACAGCTTTTGAAAGCTTTAGATGAAAATGCAAAACTCACCCAGCTCCTTGAAGAAGAGAGAATTCAACATCAGCAAAAGGTAACAGATTTTCTTCTGGAGTCTTAATACACACACACACACACACACACATTCAGAATGAGAGGAGTCAGTTCAGTCACTTACAGTTCCATATTTTGCCTAAGTTACTAAGTCTTTCCAGTCTCTTCACCTTTTAGAAAAAAATAACTGTCAAAGGAACTTAGTGTGTGAAATTTATAGTGCGCTATTGTAGACTTTATAGTGATCTTTAAACTGTCCAAAAGGTCAGAAGAAGTGAGGGAAAGAGAGAAAACTCAAAAAGAGCTTGGATAATGCACATAATGCCCAGTTTGGAAACCTGTGAATTCATTGTGTTTTTTGGAGACTGCATACACTAGGAGAATGTATTAGTCTCAGAGAGCGTGTTGGAGAGCATAGATTTTATTCAAAGAGGGAGGAGAAGTCTGTGCTGGTAGCAATTGTTCGCTTAAAGAAAATTTCTGATTTTGTAAACTTGCACAAATGTGTATGTTTAAAGACATCCTAAGTGGTTATTTCAGCGTGTTTGAGTGGAGCTATTCCAGCTGACGCAGCCTACCTCTGTATGCTAGGCGGAAAGGGTAGTCATCGTGGTAGGTGAGAAGGAGGAGGCGGGAGGGGAGGAGAGGCGAAGAGGTGGAACAAAGGCTTTCAAGTTAAAGAAACCACTTAAGAAAAATTACATCAATATTTATGCTACTTACAATGTACCTGCTTTGTGAAGGAAAGGCTGTTAGCTGCTATTTATCATCACCTGTCGAAGTCTCTTTAAGCAACAGTATTGACATTTAATCCTTGAAAGTTCTGAAGTTTCTACTAAGTTGGTTGTGAGGTAGCGTTGATTATTTCTTCCTCAGTAAGAAATGTTGGTGTATTCCTAGAGCATCTCCAGATGAATAGGTGGCAACCGTGGTTGCCCCTGGGAAAGAGGACTGGGGAATAGACAGGAAGGAAAGAATTTTTTTCTGTCCTCATATGCGGGAATTACCTTTTCAAAATAAAGAGAGCATCAAAGAATGTTTATTTTTATTTAGCTTATGCTAGAATTTTTTGTTTCTGAAAAGTCCTGTTCCTTTGGTTCACTCATTTAGTAAATAGCACATGCCCAGAACCTATGGAACTAAATTGTTGTGTGTATATCTTGCTGGGGTAGTGGGAGAGGTCCTGAAGATTAAAGTTATGAATGAAATTATAGCAATCAGTACTTCTAAAGCTGCTACACTATAACTACAGTTATTCTGTATAATCTTTCATGTGTGTGGTTTAAAATATTTTTTACCTGTCTGTGAGTTCCCTTGCAGATTCAGCAGTCTTTTAAACACAGCTGTATTGTTTTTATGATTATAAAAATAACATATAATTCTTCTAATAAACAAATTTTAAAAATACAGAGAAAGTTAAAAAGAACATTAAAATTACCCCAGAATCCCATATTTTGGTGCATATTGAAACTTTATATAAATATATAATTTTGTGACTATAGTTTAAGTGGAATCATACCATGCATACTGTTCTATTACCTGATTTTTTTTCAATTGGTAGTCTATCTTCACATGTCACTGTATAGTGAGCTATGTGATTTTAAATGGTTATATAGTATTTTATTTAATGAACACGCTGTCATTTATTAAATCAACAATATTGCTGGACATTTAGGTTATTTCCAGTGTTTCCCTGTTATGAACACTTTAGTGAATATATTTGAACATTTGTCTATTTTTTTTAAAACAAATTCTAAAAGTAGTATTACTGAATCAAAGGAACTTTCCTCCTCCTTTCTTTCTTTTTTTTTAAGATTGTTGATACTTGTTACCAAGTTGTTTCCCCAGGGTTGTTTTTAATAGTACTTAAATTTTTCTCTGGAAAATAGGTATGAAAATATTAATATATTTTAAATTATTTTTAAGGTATTATTTTACTTTTTTAAAATTCATGTTTAAAATTAAATTATCTGGGACATAGGTCTCCAATAAATTTATGTTGAATCAAATAGCTGATAATGATTTTAGGTATTATCTGTATCCAAGAATTTGCGTGGTATTTAAGATGAATTGGAATCTCTTTGCTATGAAGTGCAAAGTAAAAGGGAAACGTTAATTTTTTCCCTTTATTTTCCTCGACAAAGGAAAAACTATATCATAAAAGTCTCTGTATAACTTTTAGGTCAAAGAATTACAAGAGCAGCTAGAAAATGAAACACTGCACAAAGAGATCCACAATCTCAAACAGCAACTGGAGCTTCTAGAAGAAGATAAAAAGGAATTGGAATCGAAATATCAGAATTCTGAGGAGAAAGCCAGAAATTTAAAGCATTCCGGTAAAAGCATTGAGTAGGCTACTGTCTTATTATTAATCTGTGAATCTCTCATGCCCAGTACAAAACCTGGCATACACTCAATCCAGAACATTTACTGAATGCTGTAGAAAATTACCAAGATTTGTTTTTAAATTCCTTCATTGCTAACTGTTGCAGTTCAGTGGAATGGCTGCTGTAATCAAATGATCGACAAATATTTAAACTTCTTTTTTGGATTCAGAGCCTTTGTGAGTGCTTATCCCATACAGCATTAAGAGACAGAAAAAATACAGAAAGATACCTTTAATATGGGAAGACCAAAAATTTCAGCATTTCTCAAGGCTTTAGAGATGAGTGTTCATTAAGAACTTATTTTATTCGTTTTAGGTGCATTTTAAAAAAGAAACTTTTGGGGTTCTTACTACCTTCATCTTTGGTGTTTAATTATATACATGATAATACTTTGAATGTCACACCTAACAATAAAATGGGCAACAATATATATATTAAATGGAAAAACTTTTAAAACACCAGGGGATACTTAAATCAAAGGATTTATTCATTCAACTGTAGAAGGCTTTACAGGAATGTGTGAGTTAGATTATTGCACAGGGATAAGTAATAAGTTTCTGTTGGAAGGTAGGTAATTTAAGGAGGCAGGTATTTCCTTTATAACAGCTTCAGTATTCACTTCAGATATTTTTGGATAATTTTATACTAGAATTTTGAAATCTGTATAGAAGAACCAAGTAGGCTTTTTTCCTTTAAAAAATATTCAGTACTTTCTAATCCGCAGTGGAAATTAATTACAATTTATTTTTTTTCAATTTATTTAAAATTAAGAAATATTCCATTCTTTTTTGTGTATATCAGGGCAGCCTGTAGCCAAAGCCACCTTTATTATACATGGAGGGGGTAGACATTAGAGGTATTTGAGATTCGGTTTTGAACATGTTTTATTTAGTATCTACTGTGTGTGTACCCAGCCTTACCCTAGGGTTCTATAAGAAATATAGAAGAAAAGAAACCATGCCTTTTGTCCTTGAAGAACTCAGACTCCCTTTGGAGAGAGAGACAAATGCATATGAAATAACTAGAGGATTCTTGGTGTTGGAGAGGATAATCCACACTGCTTATTTAAGTGTTGAGAGTAAAAACAATTGGCTAGATCTTTGAGGGTACAGTCAGTCGTGGAGAAAGTGGAATGGCTGTGGAGAGGCAGAGCTATTCCTGGGTGCCAACAGTATTTAGTACCTATATATAGCCCATTAGATTCCATATTTGAAGTATTTGCATCCATGATAAAATTTAAATTTAAATTGACGTCAGATACTTTGTCTTGAACAGCACCAAGCATAGGTCCTTTCATATTGTTGGTGCTTAGTAAATACCTGTTTCATTAATGTCTTGAATGAACTGAATGAATAGATTATACTTCCAGAATGCTCTTCGAAAGAGCAAAAAGTTTCTGAGTTAGAAACATTTGAGAGTCTGAATTTGGTTTAAATCAAGAACTCCAGGATTTGTAGTTTTTGAAGGAAATTAAGTGGAAGAGGAAAGTATGCTATTAAAATTCATTACTAAATGTCATCTTTAAAATTAATTCTTGGTCTATATACTTTAAAAGTCAAGTATTACCAATTTCTTAGTGTTTGAGTAGTATATTCTGTTGTTAACAAATATTTCTTCAACCTACTCAATCTTTACTTCCCACCCATCCAGCCATTGTCTTGAATTTTTTTTTTTCTGTAGTTGTATATGGAGTAAAAAATGGTAATGTTTTCTCGTAACATATGTAAGGCCTCTCTTGCATGAGTGGTAGTAGACTGGATGATAAGAAGTTGAAAAAGTTCTGTAGATTCATATTGAAATTTCTAACTTTACCTTAATAAAAAAGAATTTGATTTTGAGAGAGGTTGTGTTTTTCCTTTACATGTAAAAGAAGGTGTTAAGTTGCTCATTTCAGCTCTTTTCCGACTGCTTGCTCTCTGTGCAGTTGATGAACTCCAGAAACGGGTGAACCAGTCTGAGAATTCAGTACCTCCACCGCCTCCTCCTCCTCCACCGCTTCCCCCTCCACCTCCCAATCCTATCCGGTAAGCACATCTGGGAAGACTGCTCTGCGTCAAATGTTACCCCTTGTCAGAGGACCTGAAGTTTATGTTCCTGGGATCCTTTTTTCAAAATACTGGCTTAGATTGCATCACTAGAAGGGTGGTAAAAGGTATGAAAGATATCAGCTGGTGTTTCTCTCAGAAAATTTTCTAAAGGCCAGTGTTTTACTCTCTTCTTATAAAAGATATATGGAAAGGGCCTTAAAACACCCGGGAAAGACATTCTTGTGGCCTAAAGTGTTCTTCTGTTGTAGATGTTCCGATTCCATGTGAATGTTTCAAACCCAGGAGCTAGACATTTAAAAAAATTTTTTTAGGGGCTAGCCCGGTGGTGTAGTGGTTAAGTTCATGCGCTCTGCTTTGGCGACCTTGGGTCATGGGTTTGGATCCTGGTGTGGACCTGCACACTGCTCATCAGGCCATGCTGTGGTGGCGTCCCGTATATAAAACACGCGAAGATTGGCACAGCTGTTAGCTCAGGGACAATCTTCCTCACACACACACACAAAAATTTAAACTTCAGTTCCATACATATAGTTTCATCCTTCAGTTATAAAATTTCAGTCCATGACATTAGGATTTCCTTTAACTGGAAGACCAAGGAATTTTGAGTTTCTTCGGAATGTTTTCATCTTTTTTCTCTCACTAATTTGAATTTGAAAAGCTCTAGTTTGTTCAATTATTTTAAAAATAAAGGTACTAAACTAAATGAAAATGTAACAGTACTAATTGTTATAAACTAGTGATTAAACTAAAAGTACTAATTATTTTGTATCCCTAATCTCATATTTAAACCTTTAATAATGCTGAGAGAGAAACCTTTCATAAGAAGAAGAAATTATGTTTAAATTCTTGCAGCAGGAAATCATATCTGCAGACAAGAATTCACTTTTTCTGAAGCCTAAGGTGACTTGATGGTGTTGAGTGCCTGAATAAAGCACCATATACCCCAGGAGATCTAGAGAAAATTTTGCCACCTTTGTGGTTCTTCATGCCACTATCTGAAATTTCATAAGACAAGCTACTTGCTATGGTGACAGCTTACCTCCTCGTGTCATGATGTTAACTGTTCCTGGATAATTTATTCTTGAACAAATGAGATTTAAAATTTTGCTAGATTTTTACCTTTATTAACTCATGTGATTTGTTTAATCCTTTCACACAGAGAGGCCATTTATTCCTACTTTGCATCTTTGCCGATTCATCTGAATAGAATGTGTAGCATGTTCCTCCCACATGACTGGGAAAATGGTGCTTTGCCTTTTAAAAAGAATCTCATTAGTTTTTCTTACTGAGTAGGGTATGACACAATCTACTTTAAGCCATTGAAGTAGTTAAGGCAAAATAATTTTTGCACATGATCCATCGAAGAGTCAATTGAAAGAATTTTAGGTATTTGAAATTCTTTCTCTCCTGGGTAGCTAAATCTGTAGGAGATATTTTGAATTTGACATTTAAAATAGGAAATTCGTCTCTTTGATCTTTCTATAAGGTCTGAAATTTTGAGCTGATAAGAAAGGTCACTTCTCTCGATGAGGGAGAGAGAACTATTAAAAAGCGATTGTAATCTTGCTGTCGGCCTTTAATTTTTAGTCTCAGAAATCTTGAGAGCCCTTAGAATTAAACGTAAAGTATAACCTAAATAGAATATTTTCCCAAAGAACACGTTACAGTCCTACTGAGAAACGAATGTAGGATTCAGACTATGGATGTCTAAAGTATGAACTCTTTTATAAGGTCCTTTAAGGAAAATTTTAATTGGATAACATGAATGATTTTTATTTCAAGATGAATTTATATAGTCTAAGACATAATTTCTGAGTAGAAAGAGTTTTTTTTTTTTTAGTAAGGAGTACTTTCTTGTTAAAGAAATATATTTGCATGTGTATTGAGTTTCAGTGGACTTTGAATCTACTAATCAAGACTTTTCAACTTTGTTCCTGAGCCATTTGTTTTACCCTGATATAGATCATGGATAGAAATAAAAGTGGAAAAAAAGACTAGGGCCCAAGGCTTTATTGTGTCTTCCTCCTCCTCTTGTTCTTTTGACCCAGAGGACAGGTGGGAGAGAGGAAAGAGAGGAAGAAGGCATACCTTGGTCAGTTTGTGCTAGTGGTAGTGAAAGTAGGACAGGTCTTGGGCCTGTGTGGCTCATGGGGGAAAGGTAGAGTATCAGTGTATTAAAGTTCTCCAGAAAAACAGAACCAATAAGGTGTGTGTGTCTGTGCACACACACACACATACACACACATAAAAAGAGATTTATTCTGAAGAATTGGTTCACGTAATTATGGATGCTGACAAGTCCCAGGATGTGCAGGGTGAGTCAGCAAGCTGGAGACCAAGGAGAACCTATGGTATAGTTTCAGTCTGAAGGTCAGCAGGCTTGAAGCCCAGGAAGAGGCAGTGTTTCAGTTTGAGTCTGAAAGTAGGAAAAAGCAGAATTCTTACAAGGCAGTCAGGCAGGAGGAGTTCTCTCTTGTCTGGGAGAGGGTCACCCTTTTGTTCCATTCAGGCCTTCAACTAGTTGGATGAGGCCCACCCACATTAGGGACAGCAATCTACTTTACTCAGGCTACCAATTTAAATGTTAATCTCATCTGAAACCTTCACAGAAACACCCAGAGTAATGTTTGACCATGTATCTGAGTATCCCGTGACCCAGTCATGTTGAGCCATAAAATTAACCATCACATTACACATGAAGAACACTTCTTGAAGAATTTCAAGGTGAATAGTCTCCATTGAACTGTTCCGTATTTGGGGGAGACTTGCTTGAAGCTCACATCCTTTCAGTTGAAATGGCTGTGAAAAGGGGCCATTTTAGCCAGATGTTTGGATTATTGGTCCCAGATGTCTTGTCCTGGTCTTCTCATCTGTCCTGTGAGACCCACCCTATCTGCTTTCTTTGGACTCTATGCCCCTTCTTGACAGATGGTTCTTTTTTAATATTACAGATGATTTTCCTCTGGGAAGCATAGCAGTCTCCACCTTATACTTTGTTTCAGAACATTTAAAGCTAGCCCTTTCTCTCCTCTACTTAGGTGGTTTACAACGATGAGCATATGTTCTTACTTCATTTCTGTAAATAATACAAATATTCCGAGCAGTACAAAGAGCTTTCTGCTTCATGATCTTTATGTACAATAATGCGCACTCTCCCAGTTTCCTCTCAGAACCAGAGTGTGGTGAGAGGGTCCGGAGAGGCCTCTCATCTGTGAGCACCCTCCCCAGACCCCTCCCTGCTGTGGAATGTTAGCAAGTCGACACTGAACATCCTGCCTTCAGTTGACAGAATGGAAAAAATGAGCAAATAAAGCTTGTGTTATTTCATTTCTCCCAATTTCTGGAATAAAATGTGCTTATTTTAACATTCTGTGTAAATTAGAATTTCTAGGTTTTATGAAAAGAATTTAATTCCATCTTAGGCCACTGTGAGCCCAAAGAAGACAAACTAGACCAAGTCAGAAGCCCAGTGATTGAGTGTTTCCCAGTTGCTTCAGTCCTAGAAACTGCACAGGGTAGAGCAGGATGTCCTGCTTACTTTCTCCTCTGCTTTGTGGGAGATTGTTCAATGTGTTTGGGAATTTTAAGAAAAGGCAGTTAGAGAAGGGATTAATAATATAACCAAAAGTAGAAGTAAGAAGTAAAAAAAATCTGAAAACTACAGTGATTAAGAAACATTCTAGTCGTTCTGTCCTCAGAGCAAGTGTTACTGTGTATATCCAGTGGCCCCTTTTCTGGAGGCAACATGAGGCCTTTCCTATCCTCTAAATATTTGTTTTCTATTGCTGGCTTCCCAGCTTATCTTCCTCAGGATCGTGTTTTGTCAAATCCACTTTACCACACTGAGGACATTTATAATGTAGGTGAAAGAATTCAAGAATTCTTGATTTGTTTGTGTTTCTGTAAACTTTTTTTGGAGGGAATGATAACATATATGTGGAAATGTACACAAACTTGTGTACGGTTTAAAAATAACAAAATGAATATCCATGTAATCATCATCCGGATCAAAAAGTAAAACAGATACTCTAGAATCCCTTCTTTTTATCTGTTTTTTAAAGAAAAGCTTTGTTCTACTACATATAGCTCCCTAGATTACTAGATATATATATATATATGGTCTTTTTTTTAACTTTATATAATTGTAATTTTACTGTATTCATTTATGTCTTGTTCTTTACACTCGACGTTATTTTGTAGGATTCATCCATATTATTTTGTGTAGCTGAAGTTCATTCATATTCATTGATACATAATCCATTTTATGGATGTCCCAGGATGTGTTTATCCATTGTGTACTGATAGACATTTGAGTTATTACCAGTTCAGGGAAATGATGGCAATTCCACATGAACGTTCTTGTACATGTATCCTAGTCCACAAGTGCTTGTATTTCTGTAAGATATATAGAAGTCGAATCACGGGCTCCTGGGATATGCGTATCTTCAGCTCCACTAGGTAATGCCAGTTTTCTAAAGTGGTGCTATTGATTTATATGCCTTCTTCAGTTTGAGAATTCCTGTTATTCCACAAACTTGCCAACATTTGATATTATCAGACTTAAAATTTCTTGCCTGTTTGATGAGTGCGCAGTAATATCTCAGTGTGGGTTTCATTTGTGTTTTCCTAATAACTAATGAAGTCAAGAACCTTTTTAATATGTGTATTGGAAATGTGGACATCCTCTTTTATGGAGTTTCAAGGGTTTTGTCCATTTTTTCGTTAAGTTGTCTGCTTTTTCTCACTGATCTGTAGAGGTTTATTTCTTTATTCTTTGATGTCTTTTAATATATGGAGGTTTTAAAATTTTAATGTGGTCAAATTTATCATGATTTGGATTTTATACAGATTTTTAAAACATGAAGCAGAGAGACAGTGGTCTAAGTATATTTTTATCCCTTAAGTGTTTGGTCTGTGTCTCAGATTCAGATGTTCTTGTGCCCATATTTCACAAATAGATATTTATTTACTGAAAACATCCCCTAATTCTTTCATCCTTCCCTCTCTCTCAAATGTATTATGTAAATAGCTGTTTCTGAATTTTAGATATGGATGTGGAATTTTTTTCTGTATGTATTTTACTTTGTAAATGTCTAGGCTTCATATTAGTAATTATAGCAGTTCCTTTCTTCCAGTAATTAATTTGGTTTCACATAGAAAGGTATGAGACATCTTTCTCTTCCTTAAAGTGATGAAAAGTTTAATAATTTATTAAAAGTGGAAAAGAAGCTTCTTAAATTCTAGTTATACATTCATGCACCTAGAGGAGAGTTGGATTTTTACTAATTATTTAGAATCTACACATTTTATTTCTTGATCATAAGGCAGCCAGTAATCTCCTGTCTGTCTTTTTCTTTCTCCCAAAGATCCCTCATGTCCATGATCCGGAAGCGATCCCACCCGAGTGGCAGTGGTGCTAAGAAAGAAAAGGCAGCTCAGCCAGAAACAAGTAAGTCTCATCTGCCTTGGTTTACCCTAAGTAGTTGATGGTGTACAATTTTTCAACAATACACACCTTTGTTGAGTTCTATGACTATGAACAGATCGTTGCGGGAGGGATGTGAACTTAACAGCTATAAGAAAGAACCACATAAGTCGTTGCCTTCCTGTAGCTTATTGTCTAGAGCAGACAAACATGCACACGTCACTGCGAGGTGAGGTATGCTGGGAAAGGTGTTTTCATTAAGCGACGAAGTACTTTGGGGTGTGAAGGAAAGAGAGGGAGTAATTGCAAATGAGGCATTCGAGGAAAGGCTTTTTGAGTTGATAGCAAGTGAACTGAGACTTTCTCAAGCACCTACCTACTGTGTACCACTCCAGTGCTGTGTACCGGAGATACAAGACTCAAAACTTACATTCGAGTGAGGTAACCAGTGACCATCCAAATAAATATATAATTATTTAAATACAGTTTTGATCAGTACTGTGGAGGAAGAGTATAAGTTTCTAAGAGATCGTGGAGGTGGCCTGCTGGTGCCAGAAAGTGATGTGTGAGCTGAGTAGTTGTGGATTTAGAAAGTCAGGGTGGGGGTATTTAGGATAAAAGTGGTTCACATGGAGGGGCAACAAATTCAAAGTCCAAAGTGGGAAGGAGCTTGGTATATTAGGAAACTGAAAGAAAGTTGTGTTACTAGAACATGGGGTACAAGAGAGGAGGTCTGATAGGTAGGCAGGAGCCAAATTCTAGAGGCTGTGGTCAAGATTTTGAAATTTATCGTAAGGGCAGTAGAAGTTTTAAGTAGGGGTGTAACACGACGACATTTGTCCTTTTTAAAAAATCTCACTGGCTGCAGTGAAGAGAACAGAGAACAGGCTGGAAAGGAATGAGAGTGGATGAAGGGAGACTATTGCAGCCATTCAGAGGAATGTTGATGGTGGCTTAGACGACGGTAGTAGCAGTAGAGACAGAAAGAAATGGATAAATTCAGGAATGACTCAGGGAGGTGAAATTCACAGGACTCTGATTCACTGAAGAGGGAGTTGTTGAGGATAATATGAAGAGATGGAATGGAGGGAGAGGGCTTTCCTGTGGCTGGGTGGAGTCAGTTCACAGAGCTGTGTGCAGTTTGGTGTGCAGCCACAGTGAGCGCACAAGGTTGGAATGCTCGGGCCATGTCTTGGGCCTTTCTGCCTGAGAACTGTAGAACCCAAATTAAACGCAACAGTGTTTGCTCAACACCTGCTAGTTACAAAGCATTGTAGATTTGCCTGGTTCAAGCCCAGCCAGGTGTAAACTTCTTGGCTCCGTTTTCCTGCCTCCAGCTTTCATTGCTCCAGTCCATCCATCTTCATATCATTGGCAGTGTGGCGTTCCCAGATCATAGGTCTAATCACATTGTGTTCATCTTACCACATTCTGTGCTTCTCACTGCATCGGAATAGAATGCACACTCTATAGTCTGCTTACAAACAGTTCTCTGCTTTTACTTCAGCCTCATTTCTCATTACCTCTGTCCCACCTTATGGCTGGACCATTACCTCTAAGCCCCCTATGCATTTGCTCCTGTCTTTCCTCATTCCACAATGTTCCCCCGCCCTTCCTCTAGTCAGAGCTTTCTCATGCAAGGTGCTGTTCTAATTCCCTATCTCCCATGAGGGTTCCAGGCAATTTGTGTGTTCCGGGCTCTTCCTCTTATTCCTCTTATTTATTAGTATTAGTATTAATAATCTAAAATGAATGGGCTCATTACTGTGTATTGCTATAGCGTTTTGCTTCAAGTTTTGTTATAAGGATTTAATGTCCCATCCCTCAGCCTCTGCTCTGGTGTTCGAGTTATTTCCATATCTCTCCTCCTGAACAGATTGCAGACTCTTTGAAGATTTACTCTTCTCTGCAGCCTCCCACAGCTTCCTTGCATATTGAATGAATTGAAGTTTAGACTTAGTCTTTTCTTTCTTAGCAAGTACCTCAAAGCACTGTTACAAACGAAAACTGTTTGATTTCATCTATATGAATTGACTTTCTGTGCCTGCCTCCTGCAGTCCTTTGGAAACTATTCCTCTGTGTAATAATGCAGCTGAAAGGCAAATTCTGTTTTGCACAAGGTGTTGCAGGATTCAGAAGTCCTGCCTTTGGTGATCTGCAGGGCAGCCCTGCTTCTGGGTTACTGCCTATAAGCCTTCCTTGACACTGTAATTAAAATCAAAATTTTGTTTGTTTCAGTATTGTTTTGGGATTGGTAGGCCTTATAGGGTCAGGAGGGCAGTCAGAATAAAATGATTTCCCCTTCTACGTAAATTACATTATTAGCTTGTCAACCTTGACAGCACCCTTAAATTTTAAAAAAAAAGTATTCTAGACCTTATTAACCCCCAGTGTTAGAAACTATACAGTTTTCCTTATGAAAATGATGTTTCATTTATAATTCATGAAATGTGGTAGGATTTTCTCCCTCATCCTTGAACTATGGGATCATTACTTTGGGAATCTGGGTAGTTACTGACAGAGAAGTTGCTCATGAGATTTTAAACTGGAGCCACCCTAAAATCATACTGCCTTAAATGATATGTACCATAACCACCCATTATTGGAGCCTCTCTTTGTCTGGCAAGGTAATTTATAGTGTCTTGTTAATAGTTCACGCTAAAAACAGTTGAATGAATAAACCAACAATGATTAAATGCACGATGCATGAATGTAGACCCTCAGACACTGGACTCATCTGTGACCTTTTGGAGTTTGCATTTATAACGTATGGACCAGTGTTGCTATCACAGTTTTTTCTTTTGCTGGTGTCTTATGTGGCTTTTACTATACGGTGGGTGTGCTTTTCAGAGCTTATGAATGGAGAAACTTTTATTGCTAGGTTACAACTATTAAAAAACTTGATTGTAAGGAAGGTGTGTGGAATATTTCAGAAGTAGTTTTAAGGTCTAAATATGAGAAGTTATTACAAGCTTTGAAGTCATTACTCTAATTTTGATAAGAAGGCATTTATTGCACAGATTCTGAAATTGCAGTGGTATGCCTGCTGTTTATCATATATTTAGTTCATTAATTGATTGATTGATTCTTTCCTCAGTTTGCTAACCTATAGGATGGGGATATAGGTTCTGTTTCATGGGGTTCTTGTGAGAATTAATGAACCTCACAACATGTAGTGTTTAGTGTAGTAGAAAATACTCAAAATGATAGCTAAAAAGACAGTGTACCAACCACGCTGTGAGGGGCAGAAGTCCTCATTCAGCAGCCTCTTGTGATCATTGTAGTTAAGGAAATTTCCTTAACTTTATGACCTTAGGTCAAATTCAGACTTATTCAACCATGGTATGTTCTTTAGAAATTTCGTACATCACAGTGGCGTAAGATTTTTTTTTAGTACCTTTTAAAAAATGTTAGTGAAAGAGAAGAGTAATCCTGTGGAATTTAGAAGTGCATTTTAGTTTCTTTTAGGTAATAACAAAAGGTTTTATTGAGCAAAAAGGTGATGGTTTTGTCTGTGGATTTTTTTTTTTAGGAACTAACTTATTTTTCAAGTGGGTCTTAAAAGTTAAGCCTCAATTAATTACATGTAGCTTTCTGATCTGAGACTGACCTTGAAGCACTAACTCAAAGAACATTTGATTTTATTTTCCCGTGGCAGTTCAATAACATTAGACCTGTTGTCTTCATTTGTCCCTTTTCTTTAATCTCCAGTATCCTGCATATTTCTATTGTCCCCCTGATTACATGCTTTTGTGAGACAATTACCAACTGTGTGATTGCAGAAAGAATTACAAAACATACCATGAGCTCTCTGTAGGTGATTCTTGCAGATTTATTAGAACTGCTTAATAGTTTAGAAGTTCATATAGATTGCTTTTTGCTGGTTCAAAAACAGGGTTGGCGAGAGAGAGAAAAAAGCTTGTGCAGCTAACCTAGTGTTGCCCTTGTATTGTGTCCGAGTAGGGAATCTGATAAGAGTGATTTCTTTTCCTTAAGACCAATTAAGTCTTTACATTTGAAAAAGACAGAAATTAAAGCCTGGTTTACAATCTGTATACAATACAGATAGTGGCACTTCTCTGAATTATCACTATGATTCTGGCAAGCAAAAATAAGAAACTACTTTAAATTCCTGCTATGTTAGATGCTGCAGCAGATTTGAATGGTGTTGACCATAATTCTCCATCTGTCTGCCTTAATTAGTTTTTGTATGGTGCATGTAATTGGGTCTCAGTCATTCCTTACAGAGTGCTAATCTGTTTGTAGGCGGCGTTCCTGTTGCCATGCAGCTCTTCCCAGGTCTCACTCAAAATGGCAGCCTTTCTGAAAATCAAATGTTTTTTGAAGATTTTTTTTAAAATTCCCAAAAATAAATTCCATACCCATACCAGGTGCTTGAATGACAGATCTGGGTTTTCTCTCCCCTGGTTTTGAGTAAGGTCAGCAAAAGCATGGTGTAGTGCATAATAGGTATTCAGATATAAAATGAGTGAGTGAGTGAAAGAATGAATGAATGAATTCCCATCCATAGAAATGTTATTGCCTGTCCCCTTGTTGGTGTTTGTGAGCCAGCCGCAGAAACTGCCCAAGAAAGTGCTATTTAAGGGCACATAATTGATCCGCCCACAGTTTTGTTCTGACCTTGGTGCCTTATTTCCCATGTTGTCTGGCAGGAGATACTTTTTTTGTCTTCTGGATCTGAAAGATGTCGTTTGGATTACTGAGAAATTTTAATTCCCAGTATTTCAATGGCTTGTGAGGATGACAGAACACTACTTGAAGTCAGGACTGTATCAGAAAACCTAGATTATGTGATGAATGTAGCAGCAATCCCATCACTGTGGCTGTAGAGATGAGGATAATGGAACCTTCTGGATTCTCTTGGTTGCACCTTAGTCATCTATATAAGAGGAACAGCTACCGAGAGTTAGAGGGAAGTCCCGCCGCGTAGCAGAAAAATAAGCCATGAGTTAGGCCTCCTTAGCACAAAGCCTGACACTCCTGTTAAGTAGCTTGGGGATATAGTTGTGATTGTCTCCACTGAGAAGCCATTCTTTTGGGACTTCGTTATTTCTGCTCAAATAGTAAAAAGATTAACAGCCATTTAAATCCAAAACTTTAACAAGTCAGTCAGTAGATAGATACTTGCTGAGTGCCCGCAATATGGCCCACAACAAGTCTGTTAAAGATTCTGATTGGAAGGTCTTTATGAGATACTTAAATATATTGGCTGCAGTGAGTTAGATGGAAGGAAACACAAGATGTAGAAATGCGTTGATGGTGATAAATGTTCCAAAAATGATTCAGTGCTTTTGGTCAAGCTCTTCTGCAAAAGAGACAAATTTCACTATTCTGATCAACAGGTTTAAGCTCATCTCAGGAGCATTAATCAAATTGATACATACTTCAACAGCTTTATTGTTTTTACAGAAAAGTAGTGCAAAGATTAGACAATGGACAGTTGAAATTTTTAAATCAAATTTAATTACTTAATTGCACTTGTTTCTGGATGTGTGTTTTCTTTTCACATTGACAGTTTTAAAAGACTTGAAAAAGATTTGCTTAAATGTTTTCTTCCCATGTGATTCCTAAACAAAAGATGGCAGTTTAAAAGTAGATTTTACCTATTTGCTGCTCATCTTTGACAGTGGATTTCTTCAAACAAGTAAAAGATCTCTTTGATCCTTTTTTTTCAAGTGGGCTTTTTGACAGTTATACCTTCTTTGGGCTGCTTTCTTTGACATAGGATGTACTGTAAGTTATAAAAACATCTGCGAGGCAAAGATGAATGATTTTGGGGGGTTAGGTATAAAGTTGGGCTTTTAAAAATCTGGAGAAATTCAGGTCTGTCATTATGCTGAAAAATGGAACAAAATCCATTGTTTAACATAGATGACCTGATATGGAGTTTTAGGCTACAAATTAGACCTTAAATTTTGTGACTTATTTTTCAAAGCAGATCTTTTATTAAAAGATTTTTTATTAAAAACAATGTTTCTACCTGGCAGCTGTTAACATTGGTAATTGTTGGTGTTTTGCGACTCTGAAAAACAACTGTGGTTAATTACATAGTGCAATCTAAATCACCAAAAATAGGAAGTAGCTGTTTTCTTGTAACATAAGATGATTTATGTGTGTGTTCTTTGAATAGCTGAGGAAGTCACAGATCTGAAGAGGCAAGCAGTTGAAGAGATGATGGATAGAATTAAAAAGGGAGTTCATCTTAGACCAGTTAATCAGACAGCCAGACCGAAGGAGAAGGTACGGAATGATTAAATGCTTTTTCACCCCTTGATATTTCCTTTTTCAAATGTAAAAATTTGAAATTTGATGAAAGCTACATCAGGATTGACTGTCAAATCTTAGGATAAGACTAATGTGTCATGAAAGCCTTTACTTCCTTATAAGCATGTTTCGGGAGGACTCTCCTTGACCCATGGTGAACCTGAATCACTGTGGAAAGTAAGTAACACCTGTTATTGCGTGTGCTGTGCTGCCGTCTCCTTGAGAGAGACATTGATGTGGACTGTTATCCCATACAAATGACCATTATTATATCTTTTCTTTAATTCCTGGTTCTTTTGTATAATTCAACAAGTATTTATTGAATATCTACTATGTGCCAGGGACTGTTTTAGGCACTGGGAATAAATCTGTAAACAAAAGAGAAAATCCTTGCCTTCCTGGGGCTTCTTTTTTAGTGTGTAGGGGAAGGGAACGAGGAGTGGGGATCACATCATAATGCCAGAACAGACCTAAGGCAACTTTTGAAAAATAGTGAGATTTATACGATTGTGTTCATTAATTTCACAGACCTCTTCCAGGTCACTTCAAGGAGAAACTGTTGTGTATAACTGCCATTAGCTGTCGTCTAAACTAGAGCACAGTGAGCGCCAGGATCTATCGAAGTTCCTAGAGTCTAGTTCAGTACTTCTCTCTTCCCTTTGTCCCATTTAAATAGACCCAATAATAGAGTTTTTGAAATTTTTCTTGAACAATGTTTTTTTCTTTCCTCACTCTAATAAGGTATCAACAGATGGATTCTCTTTCTTTTTCTTCTTCCTCTTTTAAACCAAACTTTATCATTCTTTCTTACTCTCAAGGATGGGCCTCCTCAACTGCTTCAGTGTCCCCAGTATCATGACTGTTCCGTACAAATGTCACTGGGCTTTTCAAGTTGCCACTTTGTCACAGGCAGGCAAGATAGCCAAGCAAGACAGGAATGGCCATAGTGTGGAAAGGGGGTTGGAAAGAGGGAGAGAATTCTCAACTCCAAGACCAGATTTACATCTCATGAAATGGCAGCCACGGCCAACCCTGTAGGGTAATTCAGGTTTGTGCTAGTTTTCTGAGTAAAGGATGGAATACAGAACTGGAGGAGCAGCTGAGTGTGCACAGTCTGGCACAGCTGTTTCTGTGCTGCAGTCTGGTGAGTGAGTGAAGAGCACTCTGGTTGGGGTTGAGGCCCTTGCACTATCCCCCAGCTTCCCAGGCTTTTTTCTCCACAAAATTGGGGTAGCACCTGCCCTGTCTGACTCGGGGCTGTTGTCAGGATCAAATGGAATGCATCGTGAAAACACTTTAAAATGCGGGGTTTAAGTGGAAGCTTTCAAAAGAATACATTTTTATGACTTTCATGTCACAACTATTTTGGAGAGAATAAGCAAAACCAAACTATCACTATAGAAAAATCCAATGTCATAAAGAAACAAAATTAGGTTAGAAAGAAAAATGTTGAAAAACTTAAATCGTAAGCAGTCAATATTCCCTAGTACTTTCATTTTCAGAATACAGCCTTGTCCTTTTTTATTCTTACCATGACTCTTCCAACAGTTACACATTATTTAATGTCAGTTCAAAATCTGGAAAACAACTGAACAAGGATCAGTGGACGACTGGGTTTTCACTGGTAATCATTAAACTATGTAGATTATAGTGCTGAATGACCTGGTCAGTAACCTTTAGGACAAATGGTCACTGCATGCTTGAGTACAGACTTCTCGTCCCAGTACCATCAGTGCTTTCCTAAAATGAAACAAGTCAGGAGTCTGCAGTCCAGGCTTCTAAAGGCTTATGCAGCCAGAGAGCACCTTCAGTGGCATTGTGGCACTTTTGAGTATGCCTTCAGCCAGGGCGTTTGTTCAGAAGTCACAGCCTGTCACCTGAACAGAAGTCAAGCCTGCCTTGTGAATACTAATTTAACCGCATATTTTCTAAATTTCTTGATGTTGATGATGGTGCTGGTATGGTTAAAATTAGTGTTTTAGAGCTTTTGACTGGCACTTATGACTGGCGCTGATGGCATGTATAATTTCACAGACAAGCTAAGCTATGAAAGTTGAACGCCTTAGTCTAATTTGTACACGAGCAGCAAACCTCTCTCTCTTTTTCCCACTGTCCATTTTTAAAAATTGGAAGGGGATCTTATTCTTTTATTATCTTTTGAGAGGAAAGGATTATAGGTTGCTATTAATCACTTCCCATTTCTTGAGAGAGAAATTTTACCTCTTTTCCAGAAATGAGAGGCCTCAGAGGCTCCTTTCACTGTATCTTCGGGGTTTCTCTTCATCTCTGTCCTTTGAGAAAGCAAGTGATACAGGGGAGATCAGAGGTCTTTTTTGATCTTCTTTTCATGAGGGCCTCCTGCTAAATTTTCCCTCCATTAAATGAGTTGAGGGATACACAGATACTGTTGGGTATTGTGGGCAGGCAGATATTACCCAGAACCTCATTTCAAATTATGTTGTTCCTGGTTCAGTCAGAAGAGAACTGGGCTTGTAATCAAGACACCTGACTCCAATACAGCCTTCCGCAAGGTGTAACTCTCCTCATCAGTAAGATGAAGTGATTGGACTCCATACCCTCGGAGGTCTATTACTGCTTAGGTAGCTAGTGATGCTAATAGTCTTCTGTAAGCCAAGTTCTTTGCTGGTCCCTACTGTTGGCTCACTGCTGTTGTGAAATTCGTGAAATCAGATGTGCCAGTGCTCTGTAAGCCAGCCTCCACCTGGAGCTCACAGAGCTGAGAGAGGTTTTCTGCCCTGTTGCTTGCTTTCTGCTCTGCACTGCTGCCTTCCTAGTCCTCACTTGCTGGAAGAAGTCCAGTAATGCAAGTGGAGAAAAGTTTATTGTAAAAAGCTCTGAATAATTTGGAATTAAATCTTTGAAATCTGGTGTTTACCAAATCTTTTCTATGTATGATGATAATAGGAAGTAACAAAATGATGTTTAGAAGATGGTAGCTTGAGGCCTTTTGCGTTGAATAGTACTTCTGATTTACGTTTACCTGACACTTGGGAGCACTAACATGTCTAATACTTTTTCCTAACCATAAGACATAGAGCTGATTAAAAAATATAGTCAATATAAGCTACCACCTCTTTGCTGTGTAAAAATCTTTAAGTGTTTTAAAACTGAATTACTCAGTAATTTTTTTTCTTTTTAAAATTGTAGCCAGACTCTTCAAAAGGCTCTGAAAGTGCAGTGAATGAACTGAAAGGAATACTGGTAAGAGTAGAACTCAGTTTATTTTTTAGTTAATGGGAAAATGAAAGGAGAATATTTTAAAAATCTATCTTTATGAATAATTGGTTCTGATATGTTTTATTTCCATTTACAATAAGCTTGATTTCTTCTGATGGTTCACTTGATTGTGCTATGAACTCCCCCATCGGGTGTGTTAATAATATATCAATACTCTGTTTCTATTCTAAAAGAATGGTTATGCTTTCACCAAAATCATTGTTTCCTGTTCTTGCCCTCCAATCCTTCAAGATAGTGTCAGGCCAGCTCTGAGATCAGTAAATGCTTGTTAATAACAGAAATATAGCAGAGTCTCTTACAAGGATAGGGCTTAACTTTGAGGCATGAAAGTGGAATTCTTGGTGCCTAAATGTACATCTGAGCTCCCACCCAGATATGTTAGTATCAGGGTCACGGTCTCCTTTTTGTCACAGTTTAAAAAATTATTCGATGCTAAATTGGAGAATAAAATATAATTCTTTTTTTATGTTACTAATTTCATTTTCTAAAAGTAATTCATATTCATTGAAGAACATGCTTAATGCCATTTCGAGTTGTATTTCTTTTTTTCAAAGTTTGAGCTTTTGCCAACGGAATAAATGAGTACTGCCCTGTCGAGCAGTTGCTGTCAGAGACAAACGCCCCACTCCGAAAATGTTTCAGATACTAAGAGCTTGATTCTCAGATGCTCTTACAGTCTCAATACCAGTTATTATGCACAGGAAGTCAACAAATATGGGGGCGGAGGTACAGAACTAATATTCCCATGTTTGTTGTTACTGTGCTAATTATGCATTGCATGTAGACATCCACATAATTGTGGTAAACAAAATTATTTTCATCAAGCATGAAACAGTAGACTTGGCTCAGAATGGCCTAATTAGTCTGCGTTAGTTTTAGGTGAGTGGAATTATGGCTAAAGAGAGGTATAGCGCTAACAGTGGTGGTCTGCCTACAGAATAAAGCGTGAAAACCATTGGAAAAGTATGTGGTTATTATCTAACAGATTCTTTAATGAGAAAATTTTGTCTTCCAGTGTTCTGTTAAGGAGAACTCCTTACGACAGTCCCATTTGTTGTCTCTACGTTGTCATACTAATTCCTATTCATGAAGATGTCCCCAGGGGCACTGTGAGGTTCTGGGGTGTATTCTGAGCATCAGTGAAAGAGTAAACTCTACTGAGTTTGACTTTTTAAAAATTAGGTTTATTTGAAAAATCAGACATCTATAAGGAGATACACATAATTTTGATTACCCAAGACATCCCTCTCCCTGATAATGCTGTATGATAGCAAGTTTCCTGATTGATAGCATGGCTCTTAAAGATCATATTCACTATACAGTTGTATTCACTATAATTTTGTGCCACTTCATGGAGAGAAGTTTGTGAAATGGAATTTTGTGAAATCATTTACAAATTATAAAGATTGTCAAAACATCTTCTTTTTCTGCAGATTGCCCCCATTCTCCTTGCCCTGATTTATCATTAGATTTGTCTACCTTATCTGGCATTAATGTATCACTAAAGCTGTTATTCTGGCAATATTTTTTTTTTGCATTAAGTTTTTTTTTAAAAGTGGAACTCACGATGCTCTCCCCTATTCTTCTTTGCTAAACGGCAGCTCTCCACTACCCCTATAGGAGTTTCCTTTGAGGGATGATGACTCCCAGTCAGTTGGGGCCAAGAAACCATACAACTTCTTATAAGAGCGAGAGAAAGGAAGCCTGTGTTAGATGGGGCTTTGTCGGTGCTTCTTGCTGGAGTTCAGACTATTAGGATCATCAAAGTTAGTAACCAGCAAAGCACATGACACCAGCCTCACACTTGTGGCATGTGAGAGACAAATGTGAAAAGCCTACAGATTGTGCATTGAGGTGGAAAGCGAGCACCTGTACCAAGAGATGCCAAGAAACAGTGTTCAGTTCTGTTGCAGAACAGAAACCAGGAATAAGCTCAATGTGGGGGTGTTTTTGCTGAAATGAAAGGCAACCTGAGTTGTAAGGGACATCCACAACTTAGAGATTTGGCCTATTGCTGAAAGTTAGCCCATGGGTAGAAAACAGATCTGTGATTTGGGGGGTTGGAAAACCTCACTCTATTTTGAGTTGTACAGTTTTTAAAGTGTCGGTGTTGACTGAACTTATTTTTTCAAGCTTATTTACACTTAATTTTTTAGAGCTGTGTATTTTGTAGTTAAAAAATATATAGTTATTTTCTCATATGTTGCACACCTCATTTTGCAAACCTCTTGAGTCACCCCAGGCATTTAAAGCCACTCAAAGTGGAAACGGCAATTTCTGAAGAGTGAATCAATGCAAATTACTCCAAAAGTCTCTTCTCAAGTTCACTTGCCTCTGAATCAAAGAAATAAAAATAGCTTTAAAAAATTCTCTTTCAGGTTGTTTTTGAGCATCTTTAGTTTTTCACAGTACCCAGGGATTTTTGAATAGTTAATTTTGCCACCTGACAATTAGATTAGTCAGTATCATTAACATTTAACTAACATGGGGACTGAGATTGTTAAATGATCAAAGTGGTTTGAAGTAGACTTAGAGTACTGTTCTGGGAAGAAGAGCGATGTTCAAGGTCCAGCCCTGTCGCGGACTTCTTGTGGGACCCGGGCCAAACCCCGAGGCACAGAATTTGAATTCTCTTCCCTATAGAGTGAAGGAATTGTATGTACCACATGGTTTCTGGGTTAATCTCTGTCTCAAATTTTATGATTATAATATAATTAGATAATTAAGACAATCTTGGTAGTTTATTAGCTGAGCTCCTTGATCATTTCAATTGAGAGTCATGCAGAAAGCTTTCTTTCCTCCATAATTGCCTCCATATTTATAGTTCACCCATATATTGACTGAATCAACCATGTCAGTCAGTGAATGGAGAAGAAAGTTTGAGATTCAAAGATTAGCACTTGGAAAATGGATTCTTTCAGTATCCGGTATGATGAGAGGGTAGCTCACCACAGTCAGGAATTTGGGGAAGTAATCCTAGTATCCAAATGAAAAATAGAGAATATTGTGAAAGATAAATTCTTCAATAAAAGGTAAAAGGTATCCTTGAAAGAAAAAGACACATATCATTTTCTTGAATTAACTCCAGCCCTTGGGGAAATCACAGACTGTCCTTGACATTCACATAATGTTGTTGTTTTATGAGTTATTTTAATAGCAATGGCCATAAGTTTTTCAGATATCTATTTACAAAGGCATACAGCTGGTAAGTTTTTTAAAATTATAAACACAAACGATTTGGGAATAGCTTTTCTACTACATTTTTTTCAAATTTATCTAAACTGGCTTTAGTTCTGTCTTCTTTACCTTGTCAGTGTCAATCCTGTCTTACTATGTAACTCCTTGATGAGTAGGTACAGATCTGCACTGTTAACTGTTAAATAAATAAACCAAATCACCAAATTTTTAATTATAAAGTAAGCCATTATAGTGGTACATGTAATGTGATTTTCCTTTGAATACATTTTATGAATTTTTGCAGTAAATGAAAAGCAGAAAGAGGTACTTCCAGGGGGAGAGGATTGTCTGCTTGATTAAAATATGAGCCTTGTCTAAGTATTTTACATACCAGTTTTGCTTAGGCAGCTGACAGCTAAAGAATATACTCTCCTAATCTTGTTAGTCAATTTCCCTCCCCTGACAACGGGCTGCTTTTCAATAACTGTGCAGTTAGGGGGGTAAAAACCTTTCCAAACCAAACAACAAAATAATCTGTGTCATATGAGATTTGTAACTACCTAATTTTACAAGGTACTTTTTTTTGTTTTATAGGCTAAAGAAGAAACATGAGTTGCCATTTTTAGCCAGTAGAATTCTTAGAATCCTTTAGGAAGTTGGGGTGTGTGTGTGGAGGGGGGCAGGTTTGTGCAGGGAGCAGGATTAAGGCAATCCCATAGTGACCTGAAGTGACAAAGGCTGGTAGCCTTGGTGGACAAAAACCTTCTGACTCTGGCATGAAGTCTGGCAGGTTATACTGGACTGACGGTTCTGATATGCTCTGATCAAAGGATTGTGGTTTTCCTGGCTTCCCCCTCAAGCCTGTGGCACAGCTGAGGAGGGCCATTTCAGAGAAATAATAGGCGTTTCTTATGAAAGAAAATGGACCACTTGTAATGATCGGGTGCTAAGTCCTTACACCTAAGAAGTACATCGCCCATTGTTCTGTACAAACACCTGACTGGTAGTCGAGATGGAGAGCCATAGCTCTCCCTCCGTAATATACTTCCTAGAGGGACCAGGGCAGGGAACTACTGCCTGGCTGTTTCTCTGTCATCTTGAAAGTCAGTACCAATTTTAGCAGGAACACAGCTTTACGGCATCTCTTGTTTCCTTCAGTATCTTCTGTACCCCAAATATACATTCACTGCCTCCTCTGTTAGGAATATGAAATTACAGTGCCGGGCCCTTCCTCGCCTCCCTGTACGATTATAACGTTTCCTCTTTCACAGTGAAGTTAAGGTGTGCTGAGTGCAGCACTTCTTTGGGTAGCCCACTGGAGAGCATTATGTGCCTCCTTTGGCAGCCACGACACCAGTTGTGCAGCCAGGGTCATTCTCTCTGAAGAAATCAGCCACACATTTTTCAGTGGCACAAGTAGCTCTTGGCTGCCGTATCAAGATAACCTTCTAAGGTGAGTTCAGTATATCCGTTCTCTTCTCCATGAGATCGACCAACACAGATCAGAATCTTAATCATCGATGTGCAGGTACCTTCCCACTGCTGAATTTCAGTTAGCTCATCAAGAGATGTTCTTGTTCTGTTCTTTTGATACAAAAGCTAACATCTTAGATCATCAATAGCACCTTCTTAAATGATCTAACACTATGTGTTGTTGAAAATATGCACATTAAAATATATATATATATGTAGCAAATTCATTTTATTTCTTAATTCCATTCAAATTCTGGTAATGTTTTAGTGGTTTGATTTTTATCTTCTTTTGTATATTGTATTAAGACATTAACCTTTTTGTTTTGTTTTTGTTTTGTTTTCACTTTAGGGGACACTTAACAAATCCAGTAGTTCAAGAAGCATAAAATCCCTTGACACTGAAAACAGTGAAACTGAGTTAGAAAGGATTTTGCGTCGCAGAAAGGTGACAGCAGAAGCAGATAGCAGTAGTAAGCTGGTTTGAATTCTCAATGGTTCTACTCTTTCTCTCTGAAGCATCTTCCTTTAAGTCCCTTTTTAACATGAAATGAATCTTTCAAGCTTTTTATTGGATTCTTTTTAATGTGAGTGAGAAGTATTGGATGGGCAAAGGTACTTATGAATATCTCATAAGAACTCTTATTTATTTTTATTTGTTGGCATATTTATTGATTTATTTGTAGGTAATCAGGCTTTATAGATCTGGTTTGCTTCATGCACAGCGCCCTTGTGTAAAGACATGTGGGATGGCCTTTGGTAGCACCGTAGCATTGAGGACAGGCTCCAGAACCAGACTGCATGAGTCTGAATCCTACCTCTGCCATTTATTCGCTGCCTGCCCTTAAGCAAATTACTCAACTTTTCTGTGCCTCAGTTTCTTTATCTATAAAATGAGGACAGTAAAGCACTACCTCATAGGATTATTCTAGGTATTGAGTCAGTCAATATATGAGAAGTGCTTAGCACTGTTCCTGGCACAAAGTCAGCACAGAATAATTAGTAGTAATAGTAATAATTACACATCAGTTACGAATGCAGAGAAATCATCTTTATTCTTCATACCCATTTTGTTTATCGTGTCTGCCTGTGAACCAAGTGAATGAGAAATTCCAGCTCTGTCACCAACTGTAAATGACCATCTGACCAGTTCTCGCGCTCACAGTTTGCATTGTGTCATGATACACATGCATTAGACCTCAAAATCTGTTCCAAAACTAATTTTGTCTGTCTTAAACTTTTTTCCATCAGCTTGGTCATGGAAATTAGCAGAAACCTTTATGAGGTTTTTCTCTTGTGGCCAGGAGGGTGGCTTTGAAAAACTACGCTAAAGTAAAATGAATCAGCAACCATAGTTCATGGGCTCAGGTCATCAGGTCATCATTTAGACTCAGGTCATCAACTCCGGTTAGTCCGGCAACAGTTTAAATTTGCATTGAGTCATATTTACCAAGTTTAACTTGCTAAAATATTAAGGATTTGGGGTTTTATAGTCGAGCTCTAGTTTTCACATAAGAAGTTACTCAAACAATTGAGTAAATTGATTCCTTGAACTGGGAACAGCATAATACCAGACAAACCTTTGTTATAAAAAGATGAAACCTTTGTTTCCTTCTTGAAAAAAAAAAATTAGCCATGCAGTTTTTAGTTTGGTCTGGAAATTCTGATGTTAATACGCCATAAGAATTCCCTCCTCCTCTGAAAAATAACCGCCTCTCAGGAAAATTAAGGGCGCCATAAGAGTTTTTTTCTTAAGATTGCATTACAAGCATTTACCAGCCTCCATAATGAACCATATTCATTTTGTGTCTTAATCAGTGACTTAATCACCTCTTCAGACATTTCATCCTTGAAATACGTATGTAGCCATCATTATCTTCTAGGACTTTCTGGATGCCATTTTAGTGCTCTGGCATTTACATTTTATATTTTGCCACTGACCCTTTTGTTCCTCCAGAAACATTCTTTCTTCACTCATGAACTTGGTTAAACATGCAGCACTCACTAGTTCAGAGTTAGTTTTCAATGGGAGAAATGAGGAAACATTTTCATTTCAGTCAATATGGAAATTGGAATATTTAAAAGGGAGGAGAAAGGTAGGAACATGTTTTATAGGCATGGTGAGAATCTTTCATTTTATTTATTATATTCCACCAATATACAAACATTCAATGTATCACTTGACGGAAGTTAGAATAAGAGATATATATTCAATAGAATCATTAACATTTGGATAGGAAAATAGGAACTGTGTAATGGCAAGGTGGAGAGGAAACATACTGAGGGAGTAATTGTAATTGAGTAGAAATTTTCTTTTGAGCTCCCTAGTAGCCAAAGCCAAAAAAAGGGGGGGAGGGGCAGGGGAGAGGAAACAAACTTACAAATTCTATCATCTAGTAAAAGAAATCATACCTTTTTTGAGGGACAGTACGAATATTTTCCTGGCATCAAACTGCAGGAGATATTTAACATATAAATACTTTTATAAAGGTCATGGAATGACAAAGTGAAAGTCTGTTTGGGGGAGGGTGGGAATGAGAAGCTAAAGGAGCATGGTGGGAGCAAATTACAGAGATGAGTTTCATAGGTTTGTGCCTCAGGTGTACTTGAAGTGCTGAGATTTTTTATTCCGCACACAAAGGCTTATGGGAAAGCTAAATGTGGGGTCACAAAGTGGAGAAAGGAAGCATCACGAGAGAGGCAGAGACAGCTTGAGGTTTGCAGAACTCAGATCTCAGGTTAGTTGGTCTCTCCCCCAGGGGCCAGTGAAGCCACTTCCTTGTTAGATTTTTTTTTTGGACTTGTTTTTCCCTTGTTTTACCTAGACTTGCGGCCTACCAAACTGACATTTTACAGTGCAGCAAGTGCCTCTGGGAAAACACTGGGCAGCTTAAACAGGATGCAATAATCATCATCATCATCTTAAACATTTTTCTTTCTTTACTTTTGTGTATACAAAAAATAAGAGCTCTGGCTCAGCTCACCCACTCTCCCTCCTTTTTAATTGGCTTCAGTTGCAGAACCAGCAGCAGGCATTGGTGTATTCAGAGACAGATCTTGCTTTCCTCCAAGAACAGATTGTTTAAAGCTATCTAGTGTTGCAGTCAACAATTATCCAAGGGGTGAATACAGCTGCTCTGGAGTAAATCTTGAATTCAGTTTCATATTCATGTTTTCAGGAGCTTTCTTTCTTGATTTTTATGTCCTTCTCTTTACTTCCACATCCCCATGCAACATGAGGTTTATCAGAGGTGAGAGAGAGAGGCCTTTTGAACCAGAATATTCAATGATGTCACAAACTTGTCTGCCCAGATGGTATAGATGAAATAAATGAGGAAGACAGACACTGACACTTTGTGAGCTGAGGCTTTCCGCTAGACCAGAGGGGATTTGTGTCTCCCACTTGGAGTAAAGCTAAAGGAGGTGCAACAAGAGAATGTGTGAACAATTTTCCAGCCCCTCTTAGAGAGGCTTTTCAAATTAGAACTTCATCTTTGGAGTTGATATGTTGTAATACATCAGACACATTCATATACAAATGTGTGATAATATTAATGATCAGGGATTAGTTAGCATTTTGGATTGTACCCACTGGTACTTTCCATTTTAGGAGATGATCTGAGATTTCTTAAGGATAGACTGCCAATTTTTTCCTCTTCTTAGTGGCACCTTTCAAGGTTGTCCTCTAGCTTTTTAGAAGTTCTAACCTTATTTTTACATTTGTGTAATCTGTATTGCTTTGTATGAATTTGTATTTCATAGATCTCTTTGTTTTAAAAGGATTCCTTCCAGAGTATCAAGAAAGACATACTAGAATCTTGCTTTGAAAAAAGCTGTCTAGGATAGTATCTTTCTAACTAGAGATAGAAAAAAGTTTAGCTTCAATACCCAGAATTTTTAGATTGATTTGCCAATAATTTCAGTGATAAGCCCAATTATAGTTTTTTAATCCTGTCCCAAAGAGCAGAAAAGTCCAGAAGGTAAACAGGCAAACTCTTTGCTGCTTAATTTTTATAATCCTGCGTCTGTCCTTTAACAGAAAAGAAATCCACTTACTTCTCAATCACATTAAAATGAAAATGTTCGTAAAAGCTGTTTAATACTTATGAAGCCTTCATGAGCCTTTTAAAAAGAGCCTTTTGACATTGTTCCATTTTCTGTTTAAAGTGCAGAGCTGAGTTTTGGGGAGAATTAACTCTTGAGAGGCCAAATGGATCAAGTAGGGCTGTCAGAAATCCATACTCTATGAGAAGAAAAGAGTTTTCACAATTCCAGTGTTTCTAAGGACTCTGGTCAGTGAGAGACCCATGGCCTGGGATTTTGTGGTTTCTTAAAGGTCTGTACACAATTCCTCAGCATGGTCCTGGTGCATTGAAAAGCCGTAGTACCACCAAAGCAGAGCAGATTTGTGAGAAGAACGTTTTTCAGCATGCTCTTGAAATTTTAACAAAACTTGGCCTTTTCACTTCCTGAGGGATTTTCAGCTAATCTGTTTTTCAGTACCATATTAATAAGCATCGCACAGAATTATTAAACTTGAGGTATGTGTTTGGTTTTAAGGTCCAACCGGGATTTTAGCCACCTCAGAGTCCAAATCCATGCCAGTGTTGGGTTCTGTATCCAGTGTAACAAAAACAGCCTTGAACAAGAAAACTCTGGAGGCAGAATTCAACAGCCCGTCTCCCCCAACACCTGAGCCAGGTGAAGGGGCGTGTAAATTGGAAGGATGCACAAGTTCCAAGGTTACATTTCTGTAAGTATTGATGCTCTTTACTAAGTAGTGTGTAGAAGAATCTGTGATGACTAACTTGTGTGCTACTTTGCTTTATTCTCTTTAGAGAAATTTTGATTTGGTTAGCATAAATACTTTTCTTCCTTGATTTGATGAGCCAGCTTCTGAGTGTAGGCTCCTAGCTTAGAGATCTTATTCTGATCCAAAGCAGATATATGTGAACTGGTTTGGTAATCTGATTCTTCTTCTACACAAAGAATTGACGTGGATGATAATTACTCAGCATCAGAAGACACTTAATCATTCTTTCAAGATTAAATGCTTAGATCATCCCTCTTAATGGTTCATGAGCAGCCGAAGAAGATACTAGATCTTTCAGAAGATACTAGGTCTTCAAACATACTTTGAAGGGTACGTTTTTACAGTCTTATTTTCTGGTCCTGAGTTAAAGCTGTGCCTTAATATTGCTCTATCCCGAGAATGAAATGATATGATGTAAAATGTTATCTACGTAGACTTGCTTGAAAGTGGCACTTTGATTGTCAAAGAGTTAATCCTGCTACTGAATGTGTTTCAGACAGATCTGGTGGAGGATCAATTTGTTTTATAACAATGGCAAGCTCTTTTTGAAATTAGTCTAGTTTTGCTTTAGTTGTCTTGCCGGGATGTCAGCTGGTTTGTCACTTAAAGAAAAGGAAGAGTTGAGACAAATCAGATCAGCCGAATATTATAATCACGGTTAATTAAACCTCTGATTTCCTGTTCTATCGGGAGAGAAAGAACCCTTTTTTGTAGCTCTACCTGTCTTAGTTTAAAAGGTGAAGCCTGGACAAATGAAGTTGAAATTCAATTTAGATCTATTTTTGCCAACTGGTGTTTTCTTCCACTCTTGCTTTCTCTCCTTGGTACTATTAACTTTTTCTTTCTCTTTTGGAATGAGTGGCCTTCTTTGCTGATTTACAGTTTTATCTAATTTCATTGTGTTGAAAAGCACATTTTCTCCTGCAGTCGTGTATTTCTTTTCTTTTGACTAGAGTCATTTGAACAGTTCTAACGGAAAGATGATCTATATTCATTCTTCATCTTTCCTATTAAATTTGTTTAACACCTAATTTGACATCAGCAGTCTGGCTACATTTGAACCAATATCCAGACACAAAAGCAATTTGGCTGAGACAAGTTAGTTTCTGAGAAATGCTTCAGTGTGTGTGTATAGATTTTTTTCCTTTACCATTTTACACAGATAATCTTAATCAGAAAATACTGCAACTCCTTCCTCCTTTTGTCTGCCTTTTATTCTCCAAAAGTAAGTGGAAATTACATTTCCGAGAAAGGAAATGAAATAATTGCATGCCCAAGGTCTGCAAAATGTGTGTTGAATTGACAGTGAAAAGGATCCATGTGTTGACAGACACAGTTGTTAGATGCCATAAAGGCCTATGTGGAGCTGAATTTATTTCTCATTTTGCTTGTTCAATGACTGCTTAAGAGACACGTTTCAATTTAATTTATCTACTTAAAGCACTAATACAAATACTCTGTGCTGCTGTATTAACTTTTAAACTTTGTAACCTAATGCTTGATTATTCAGTTCTTGACATTCTTTAGCTGAAATAACTAATGCCATGTATTTTCATATTGACAGTCATTTAGCAAAGAAAAGTACCTTTCTGAAAAGTCTGTTTCTTAAGTCAATTAGTCCATCCAAATGAATCTGAGTGTTTTGTGTTTGTACCTGGTAATTATTCACTTCCCAGACAGCCACACTTCATTCATTTATGTTCAGACCTAGCTTTTTAATGAGTAAAAGAAGTTTAACTTAATGTAGTTACATGTAAGCTTTAAAAGTAAAAAACTCATGTGATTTGTCAGAATTCCCTGAAACTGGTCTGGCTGCCAGGAATGAGAATGGTTATTTTCAGGGCTGTTTCAGGCTGGCTTTGACTCATAAGTTCACTCTGTTATACTAACCATAAAGTGGAGGCAACTACATTGTCTTGCCTCATAGACCTGAATTGTCAAAGCACTTTGAAGTCAGATCAGTAATTCAAAAGTGAAATGTTTCCTTTGCTTTTTAAAACTTGTCTTTGCACTCTAGTAATTGCACCTTTATTTTGATCTGTGGTGACACCACCTTAGCATTTAAGGTGAGTGGCTCTTGACAGGGACTCAAGGTCAAGGGAGGATCTCAATGACAGTAGCCTCTGATGCATGCGTTCTTTTTTTTGAGGAAGATTAGCCCTGAGCTAACATCTGCTGCCAATCCTCCTCGTTTTGCTGAGGAAGACTGCCCCTGAGCTAAAATCCATGCCCATCTTCCTCTGCTTTATACGTGGGACGCCTACCACAGCATGGCTTGCCAAGCTGTGCCATGTCTGCACCCGGGATCTGAACGAATGAACCCTGGGCCACCGAACTTGCGCACTTAACCCCTGCGCCACCGGGCTGGCCCCCCATATGTTCTTATACATGTGCACACACATACTCACATGAACACTCTCACACACACCCTCACACATCCGTCCCTATCACTCCTACCCTCCTACCCTCTCTTCCTCCCTTCACTTTGGCCTCTCTGACCAGGTATGGTTCCACCCTAGCCCTTTGCTTTTGCCGTCCTCTCTGCCTAGTACGCCCTTCCCCCAGTAGCTACATGACTGACTTTCTCACCTCCATCATTCCTTTGCTCAAATGTCATCTTTTCAGTGAGCCTTACCCTGACCACCTCTTTTAAAATTGTAACTCGTCTTCTCCTAAACTCTGATTCCCCCTTACCCTACTCCATTTTTCCCCATAGCAGTTATCTTCTAACATACTATGTACTTTATGATATTTACTGCTTATTTTCTCTCTTCCCCTGCTAGAATATAAGCTCCATGAGGGTAGGGATTTTTTTTTTCTATTTTGTTCACTGGTGCATCTCAAACATCTGGAACAATTCCTGCCTTATGGTAGGCTCTCAGTGAATACGTGTTGAATAAATGAGTATATTTTTAGTATCAGTAAAACAGAATATCAGATAATTAGAATACTCAACTATTCATTATTCAACAGTCACACACATACACAAGCTAAATGGTAGAGAGTTTTGTTTGTTGTTTGGTCTTTTAAACATTTTTAAGTGCCCAGTAATTTACATTCAGCTCAATGTCGCATATCTTCGGCATCTTGTACCTACATGAGATAAAGTTAACAGAGACAAGAGAACATCCAGGTGTAAAAGAAAGTTTCTGCTATGCTCACTTGATTGGCCTCAGGTTGACAGGAAAGTTTGCTAACCTACTAAAAAAGGTTTTAAATGTAAGGGTAGAAACAAAGATGTTTTCTGCATGGGATCTTCACTTAACCGGAACATTAAATAACTTTAAACTATTCCTGGAGAGTTTTTCCTTCTCTTAATCAGTTCTTAAAATCAACCTGTGTATGTGTTCGAAATAATTGAGTAACTCCTGTCTGGTAAATTATAGAGCCAGAGATAGACAGATTTGTCTCCTAAGGACTTCTGAGAAGGAAAGAGACACTTTTAATACTTAATTGCAAGGATTAATTAAAATTAACATTCTTGTCACCAGCCTAAGCAAAGCAAGGTGTTTTTTGAAGAAAAAAGAAGAAAAAGATAATTGGGACTTGGAGAAGCCTAATTATTTCTATTTTAATAATAGTTTTAGAAATATTTGTGTCCTGTTAATTATTTCTAATACATATATACTATCTAGTAATAATATCTTAAATCTGAGAAGTTAAATTTCATTAATTCCAATTAGTTATAATTCAGACAGGAATTCTGCTCATAGTCTCCCTTTAGGCTGTGAGGGGTAAAGAACTGACCAAGCAAATGAACAATATAAACCTGATTTTTGCTTTCACGCTCTTTCCTGTTGATCTGGATTAATCTGACAATGTTAAAGTATAGTAAAACTCATTGATTCAAGCTAATCAATGAATGGGACGGTCAATATAAAATAGGGAAAATTTCAAATTATAGAATTTTTAAAAGATAACTATGTTATTACTTTCAGACATCTACAGTACCTGGAAACAGGCTGTGTTGTGCGGGGTCAGAAAAACGAGTGATTAGTATTTTCACCAATAAAAACCTGTAGACTAGAGAGGAGTAACAAGGAAACACAATGCGATGGTTTGTAAGACAGTGCCTTTCATCTGTGCACAGGGTGGCAGGTAACACCAGGTTATTTCCAGAACTGGAGCCTGCAGTCAGACTAGGGTTCAGATCTTTGGTTTGGCCTTTACTATCTTTTATGACTTTGAGCAAGTTATTTAATCTGACTCTGTTTCCTCATGTGTAAAATGTGGGTAGTAACACCTACCTTGTAGCATTGTCATGTAAATTAGATAATATATGAAAAGTATTTCAATAAATTCGTTTTCTACCTTATGTCAAAATTATAATGCTGGGCCATTACTGGATAATCAAGGACACCTGGGTTATTGGCTGGGCCAGGTTTCCTTGGGAAAGTCATGTGACCTCTCTATTTTGTTTTCTTTTTGTTATGTTTTTTCTTATCTAAAATTGAGGCAAGCAGATTAGACACTCTCCAGAGTCCCTGTCAGCTCTAGAACCCCAATATGGGGTTCCTCACAAATATGGTTGCTTGGTAAAGATGTTCACAGGATAAGGAACAAGAGTTAGGCACGTATTTTCTACCTATAACATGTCTCTCAATATAGATTTACAGTAAAACACACACAAACCTAGAAATGTAAAATAATTAATTTTTAAGCTACATGATCAGAACTTACAAGTTCTAACCAAAGTGATAGTTATCCTTCAGAGTAGTACCCTTAGGGGTCAGGATACTCATTCGAACCCTGTCATTATTGCTCCAAATGCTGTTAGACCTATTGGGATGAGAGAGACCTGATTGCAGAGGAAATAAATTGGGCAGTCTTTGCTGTCTGTTTATTTTGGGGTGGAGAAAGTGGGTGAGAAGAGTGCTTTAGAGCCACTCCGCTGGTCCTAGAAGAGAATTAATGTCAGTATTTATTTTGGTCAAAAAATG